TGGGATTCAGGTCAAAGCTTTATGATGGCCACTCAGATGCGTTCTCTTTGTTGTCTTTAAGCACTTTTGGAGGAATTCTTAGGATCATTGTCCTGCTGGAAGACCCAGCCATGATCAGATTTTAACTTTCTGGCCGATATCTTGAGGTGTTGCTCCAAGAATTTCTAGATGCCTTCTGTTTTTGCTTAAATGCACCTGCAAAGCACCCCCACAACATGATACTGCCACCACCACGCTTCCCTTGCTAGTTTGGGGGTGGCATCACCCTTATTCCTCCATACTTAGCACTTATCATTATGTCCAAATTATTCAGTCTGACCAGAAAACACTCAGAGACACAAAGAAATTAAGTTCGAATTTCCTCAGCCTAAATCTGTAAACTTTTGACGTTACCTGTAAGAGAAGTCTTGTGCATCTTTTATGCAGTGATAGAAAACACAGTAGCGAAGAGAAAGCTCAGATTCTATGCACTGATACATTTCATTAAAGCCAATATGAACATGTGCACACCCTAAATGAATTTAAGGAACCATCACCAAATTATCAGAACGGACTCTCTGTTCACTGGGGTTAATTTGCTAGTGTTGAATAACCCTGGGAAAAGAACTCTAACTGGTTAATTCAGAGTTATATTTAATGTAAATTGAAAGTAAATTGAAAACGAGAGTACAAATCATCCATTTAAGGGTTTGGGTGTTGCAAGGTCATTCTCTGAACCTTTATGTGAGGTTAAGGCTTCATCTTCTCTCTGAACGTCTCTGAGATTCTCTTGGGGCCTCGGCTGCCTCCAGAATGCAAGTGTTGACAGCAATTAAGCTTGTTATCTGTGGAAAAGTGTTCAATTTTTTTAAAAGTTTAATAACCACCTAATAATGTCTTATGCTCCTCTAGGTCCTGGACCAATTAGCCTTATAAAAACCACTCTGAATCTCACAGGCCTACACTTGGCTTTGTGACGAGCTACTAGGATGGTGCAGTCAATTACACCAAATAATGAGCAAATTCAGGGCACCAAAAGTAAGGAAGAAATCATAACAGTGGCTGAAACTCGAAAGTAATGTTGATGTTATGCTCATTTGCTCATTTTGGTTGCTACTATAGGAATAACAGAGTGAGCTATGTGAAATCTCTTGAGATTTAGGGTGTAATTTATCAGGCAAACTAGCCCACAATCTAGAGGAATATAAGATTTTATTATGTTATTATTAAACGTTTCAAACTTCTCTTTTAGAGCTTATAGCGAGTTTACTAGTTACCTTGTTTGGACTCTTGCAAGATGCTTCTTTCAGACTGTGCCCTGAAATAGATGATGTATGATATCAAATTGCTTAATACACTCACTGGCCACTTTATTGGGAACACCTACCTTATCAGCACTGCAATCTAGCAGAAACACTGAGTAAAAATCCCAGCAACTGACCAAGGAGGTAATCACAGTCATTGAGAATCTATAACTGAGTTTTGAATAAAGCTTAATTAGATCCGTTGTTCAATAAGTGACTATCAGAATTGAAATGTGTTATGTAGAAATATTACACACCCTCCATCTCACTGTTGTTGTGTCTTATTATGCACGTCAGCTCGCTCTTAGTGGGATAAATTCATCCAGGGATTGAGAGTGTGGAATTGTTTCAGTGTGTGTGTCTCTCTCCGTATCTCTCTCTCTCTCTCCGTATCTCTCTCTCTCTCTCTCTCTCTGAATTTCCCATCTCTTCTGGCTGGGTTTTCATGGTAAATCAAAGTGTGCTTTGCAGAGCTCTGTTGCTTCGACGGCCTCAATAAATCATCACAAAGCCTGTGGTCTTTCTGGTCAGTCTGAGAGAGTGGGGTCATTGATCCAAGATCAGCTATAATGAGGCTGGTGTTGTTTTAGCCCACTCTCAGATCTAGAATCAGTTTTACTGACTATGTTGGTGTGTCCAGTATTGGCCTTGCTCTCATTGTGTAAAGCCAACACCGGCATCTGTTAGCTGATGTACTGGAACTGGCAGTTAGCGTTCTCCTTCAAGTGTGTTGAGCTGCTCAATGACGCTTAGTTACCGGCAATTTGAAAAACTCACATTTTATACCTGCTAGCACACATGCTAATGGCTTAAGTGCACATTTTGATGATACTTATAATGCAAATGTAAATGATATATCCACCTTTCATCTTTACCTGTCTATATTACATAACTTTATTACTGTACACTTGAAGTTGTATAATGTAACTGTAAAGAATACCAATTGCAAATATTAGAATTTTGGGCTGATACCAATTTTAAAGGGCTGAAAATATTGTCTGATTTAATTTTATGTTAATCTTTTAGATTTTAATTTTATCATTTTATAGTTTAAATAACAGTGTCTGCCAAATGGTTTCTGAATTGTCAAGGTGGAAGTTCAAGGTGGGTGTTTCTATTAAAGTGGCCAGTTAGTGGAAGTACAATTTAGGTGTTTCTAATAAAGTGGCCAGTATGTGGAAGTACAAGGTAGGTGTTTCTAATGAAGTGGACAGTTAGTGGAAGTACAAAGTAGGTGTTCATAATAAAGTGGCCAGTAAGTGGAAGTACAAGGTAGGTGTTTCCAATAAAGTGGCCAATTAGTGGAAGTACAAGATAGGTGTTTCTGATAAAGTGGCCAGTTAGTGGAGAACACAGTAGGTTTTTCCAATAAAGTGGCCAGTGAATGAAAGTACAAGAGAGAAACATGCTTTATTAAGTGTTTCTCATAAAGTGGCCAGTGAGTGGAAATTCAAGGTGGGTGTTTCTAATAATGTGGCCAGTGAGTGGAACATAAGTAGTGGTGATGTAATAGTGCTTGATAACTTAAAAGGGTAAAGAATGCTTTAATTTTTATTTCAGTAAGTTTGACAAGTCTTGAAATAAAGTCTTAAAGTAAAGACAGCGTTTAGTTTGAAACCTGGCAGGTTTGTACATGGAGGCTTAGTTTTTCAGAAGCATGCAACTTAAAAACCTGACCACCCAGAGGAGTGAAACCAGGTTCAAATCGACCAGCCTGATTTGGATTTTTTGCAGCCTGTTTTTGTCTGAGTTGTTCATAGGACTGGTTGATTTGAGCTCGCTTTCATCCCTCTTGATGATCAGCTTTGAAGTTGTGTCCATTGATGTGTCAGTGCTTAGTTCCCTACCTGTAATACCATATTATCTCACAAAGCAGCAGAATGGAGCTGCATGAAGCGATCAAATACACTTAAATCTGTTTGTGAAAATCTGTCACAAATCAAGCTCTGCCTGCAACCAGTGACTTTTCAAAAATTTTGTATATTCAAAATAGACTTTTCACACTTAGAGCAGCTATCTATATAGCTATATAGCAGAATCTCCTGATTCATGGTTTTATGAACCACTACCAGATAGAGTTTAGATAGATTAGATAGACGGAATGTGATTAATCCAGGTTTAAATAGACGGAATGTGATTAATCTAGTTTTAGATGCTCAGATTGTGATTAATTCAGGTATGGATTGTCAGTCTGTGAATAATCCAAGTTTAGATTCTCAGACTGTGATTAGTCCAGGTTTAGATACTCAGGCTATGATTAATTCAGGTGTGGATTATCAGTCTGTGAATAATCCAAGTTTAGATTCTCAGATTGTGATTAATCCGGGTTTAGATTCTCAGACTGTGATTAATTCAGGTTCAGATACTGAGGCTGTGATTAATACCCGTTTCAATAACCAGACTGTAATTAGTTCCAGGTTTAGATACTCTGGCTGTGATTAATCCAGGTTTAAATACTCAGGCTGTTATTAATCCTGGTTAAGATTTTCAGACTATACCTAATCCAGGTTTAGATACTCAGGTTGTGATTTAATCTAGGTTTATATACTCAGACTTTGATTAATTTAGTCGTCTCCAATTCCACCCGCTAGTTAGGACTCCCCCAATCACACGATGCTATCAACGCTAGGAGGGTGAAGGCTAACACAGGCTTCCTCCGAGACCTGTGAAGCGCCACCGCTTCTTTTCGAACTGCCGCTCACGCAGCGTCATTGGACAGCTGAACGCGCTCGGAGGAAAGCGCCAACCACCAGATCTGTTACGTCAGCTAACAGACACCTGTGCTGTCTAGCATCGCGCTGAGTGATGGGGGGAGAAGGAGGGGCCATCCTACCCACCCAGAGAGAGCGAGGCCACTTGTTCTCTCTTGGGATTAAACCATATTTTGATACTCAGACTGTGATTAATCCAGGTTTAAATACCCAAGCTGTGATTAATCCAGTTTTAGATACTCAGGCTGTTATTAATCTAGGTTTAGATATTCAGACTGTTATTAATCTAGGTTTACATGTTCAGGCTGTGATTAATCCAGGTTTAGATACTTAGACTGTGATTAATCACTGCTATTAGTTAGTCTTTAATTTCGCAATATGCTAGCAAGCTGTTTTTATTTATTGAATGATTGATGTATTATTCATTTTTTGAGTATGAAATGAAAATGTGTTTTATGTTAAATTGTTATTGAAGTTTAAGTATTTATATATATATATATATATATATATATATATATATATATATATATATATATAATATATAAATATATATATTCATTTTTTAAACTCTTTCCCCTTTGGTTTTTAAACTGTGTGGGGGAGTGCCTAGTCAGATGGGCAGGGTAGAGGGCAAAAAAATCCTGCCTAGGGCCTCCCAAAGGCTAGAGCCCATCCTGGTTATTGCACCAGATTTATAGCCAACAGAAACCTGAAATGCAAGCTATCCATACCACAGTGACCCACAGCATGTCCGAATAAATGTGTTTTCTTTTTCTTTCATTATTTATGTTTTAGTCTTGTATTCAGGAGGACAAAGTTGCTTTTTTTCCAGCATGATCTCGGATGGGAGGCCTGTAGTGGCCCCACTCGCTCCTGGAGTGGGTCTCTGATCTGGGATCATCAGTAATGAAGCTTGTGCTGTGCCCGTTCCCTCTGGACAGACCTGACCACTGAACTCAGACCCTTATAACTATAATGAGGCCTGCTGTTCTCTGTTCTCCCCCAGGTGGAGGCGGCCACGGATTCAGAGTCCGAGAGCAAAGGATCGCGGGAATATCATTCTGTAGGGATTCAGGTGGAGGATGACAAACGGTAAGCGCGGAGTATTCCATTACTGTGGCTTTGCTGTCCGGGGTGAAGAGGGGGATTTGTATAAATCCCACTGAGATATGGAGCTGCTGATATTAGCATTGCAGTGCTCTGTGGCTTTTTGAGTCTGTGTGGGTGTGTATTTAGCTCTTTGTGAGGACCTGTTGTCTCCAAGATGTTCCTTTTTTCTAAAGCTACAGGCTGAAGCCGATCTTTCCTTTACTGAGGTTTAAAGGGAATTCCATCGATACTTTGCAATTTCTGCGTAATTTAATCAGTGAGATGTTAACTGAGTCATTCAGAGTGGTTTGGGATGAAATGCTTCATTGTAGAGAAACCTACCAGATCTGATTTCTTCACAGTGGTAGTGTTGGGAACCAGGGGTCACAATATCTGCAACGCAAATAGAACCATTTTACTTGCTATGCAAATAGACCAAGTGTTTTCTAAGTTTTTATATATGTAATGTTGTTAATGTAATTGTGGTAAAACTGAAAAAAAGTTTTCTTTGGGGACTGTTTTGCCTTACAGCACCCTGCATGCACCCCTCCGCCATGAATGGATTGAAAAAATATGTTTTAGGCCAAAACTATCATGAAATAACGTCTCAGATATCAGGCAGCAGAGTTTTAGAGGCATTAAACTCAGACGGTTCCTATCACCACCACTATGGTCAGTTTTAAGTGTGATTTGGTCACTGAGGTTAAGGTTGTGGTCAGGGTCACAGTACAAGTTCGCTTGTTTGTTCCACAGCTGCGCTGGATCTCTCTGCTCAGCACTGGAAGGTGTTTCTATTATTAATGTCTGATTCAGTTCTTTTGAAGTGGTTTCCCCCTTTCTCACTCTCTCTCTCTCAATGTTTTAATGTCTCTTTCTCACTCTCTCAATCTCACAATGTCTCTCTTTCTTGCTCTCTCTCACTCTCTCCCAATCTCTCAATATCTCTCTTTTCTCTCTCTCTCTTAATCTCTTAATGCCTCTCTCTCTCAGTCTCAATCTCTTAAGATCTCTCTATCTTTCTCTCAAAGTCTCTCTCTCTCTCACTCTATCTTAAACCCTTAATGTCTCTCTTTCTCAGTTTCTTTAATGTCTTTCCCCCCTCCCTCTCTTCTCTCTCTCTCTTTAATCAGTCCCTATATTTCTCTCTCTTTTTAATCTATCCCTATATCTCCCTCTTTCTCACTCTCCATCTCTCTTTTCTCTCTCTCTTTAATCAGTCCCTATAATTTCTCTCTCTCTAATCTATCCCTATGTCTCTCTCTCTCTCTCTCTCTCTCTCTCTGTCTCTCTCTCTCTTTAATCAACCCCCGTATTTCTCTCTTTCCCTCTAATCTATCCCCGTCTCCTTCACTCTCTCTCTCTGTCTCTCTCTCTCTTTAATCAACCCTTGTATTTCTCTCTTTCTCTCTAATCTATCCCCGTCTCCTTCGCTCTCTCTCTCTCTGTCTCTCTTCTCTCTCTAATCTGCCCCTATGTCTCTCTCTCTCTCTGTCTCTCTCTCTAATCTATCCCTATATGTCTTTCTCTGTCTCTCTCTCTCTCTCTCTCTCTCTCTCTAATGTATCTCTATATGTCTCTCTCTCAGCTCTGCTGAAAGAAGCTCTATTGGCGTATAATAAGTTTCAGTGCTGCCAAAGCTTTTAAATCTGTTTATCATACATCAGTCTATTAACTAGTCAATGAAAGCACACTGAGAAAGTGATGCATTGAATTGAGTTGATTCAGATGTGTACTCACCATTTCCACATGAATAAAATATATAACATTTTACCTCTCAGTTTGGCCAATAATGGTGTTGATGCACTATATTTTATTCATGTGGAAATGATGTACACGTTTGAGTCAGCTAAATAATATGCATTACACTTTTCAGGGCACTGTGTTAGTCTCTCTCTCTCTCTCTCTCTCTCTCTCTCTCAGTATGGGCAGGTTTAAGCGCTCTAACAGCGTGACGGCGGCGGTGCAGGCTGATCTGGAGCTGGAGGGTTTTCCTACGATGGAGGATAAGGGTCTACAGTTTGGTGGGGGCGGTGGGGGTTTCCAGCGCCACAGCGAGCCCAGCACACCTACGCAGTACGGGGCAGTGCGAACCGTGCGCACGCAGGGCCTCTTCAGCTACCGCGAGGATTACCGGCCCGCCGCGGAGCCCCCCAGTCCTCAGCGCAGCCCCGAGCCCTGGCTGGAGCCTCCAGGGGGCACCAGAGAGCCCCAGGCCACTGTGGCCGTCACAGTGACCCCTCCGCAGGCCTCGGATTCCGGCAGGGTCTCGCCCTCGACCCGGCGGGACGGCAGCTGGTTCATGCAGCTCCTACACACCGAGACCAAGAGGATGGAAGCATGGTGTAAAGACATGGAGGGAGAGGCAGAGGAGAACGACCTGTCGGAGGAGAGTGAGTAGGCACATGGAGGGTCCAATCCGTTTCCATTGTTTCCTGGATATCCGTATTATTCTGCTGACCACTGGTTGCTAAATAACAACACGCCACTTGTGGCGGAAACAATTTTTAGGTGGGAAATGTTTGAAGCAGTGTAGAGGGGTTCTTTGCTTCACTTTCCTTTTGAGTAACGCTTCATTTCAACGCATAGGGACTTAATAACACATGCATAGGCAATGAATAACATATATATTTCAGCTGTTCAGGTGTTCCCACCACAGCCAAGTCAAGCACATAGCCCTGCCATCTCCACAGACAAACATTGGCAGTAGAATTGGTCATACTGAAAAGCTCAGTGACTTTAAACACCTTTTCTCAAGTCAGTTCATGAAATTTCTGCCCTGCTAGATCTGCTAAGTGCTAATATTGTGAAAAGAAAGCGTCTAGGAGTAACAACAGCTCAGCCATGAAGCAGTAGGCCACACAATCTCACACGGTGGGCCTGCCAAGTGTTAAAGTATGTAGCATGTAAAAATCACCTATCCTCTGTTGCATCACTCGTCACAGAGTTCCAAACTGCCTCTGGAAGCAACATCAGAACAAGAACTGTGTGTCGGGAGCTTCATGAAATGTGTTTCCATGGCTGAGCAGCTGCACATAAGCCTAAGATCACTATGCGCAATGCCAAGCATCCACTGGAGTGGTGTAAAGCGCTGCCACCGGATTCTGGAGCAGTGTAAACATGTTCTCTGGAGTGATGAATCATGCTTCTCTATCTGGAAGTCTGACAGATGAATCTGGGTTTGGTGGATGCCAGGAAAACACTTTCTAGTGGAATGCATAGTGCAAACAGTAAAGTTTGGTGGAGGAGGGATAATGGGCTGGGGCTGTTTTTCAGGGTTTAGGCCCATTAGTTCCTGAGAATGGGAATGTTAATGCTACAGCATGCAGAGACATTTTAGACAATCAAATGCTTCCAACTAGGAAAGACCCTTTCCTGTTCCAGCATGACTGAGCCCCTGAGCTCCAGAAAAACATTTGGCATTTTTTGGCACTCCAGTGGTCTGCACAGAGTCCTGACCTCACCCCACTGAACACCTTTGGGATGAACTGAAATGTCAGTTGTGAGCCAGGCCCTCTTGTCCAACATTAGTGCCTGACCTCACAAATGCTCTTTTGACTGGCACAAGGTCCCATGGACACCAAATTCTTGTGGAAAGCCTTCCCAGAAGAGTGAAGGCTGGTATAGCCACAAAGGGGGTCCAACTCCCTATTAATGCCCATGGTTTTGGGAGGGGATGTCCAACAAGCTCATATAAGTGTGATGGTCAGATGGACACATACTTGTGGCCATATAGCATAAAAATACAAGTACAAAAACCCCCTACTTGAGCAAAACTAGAAATACCCTTGGTTATTACAATTATGTTATATTATTTTGTTGAACAATTTCTATTAAGGACAACTGTGTGATTGCAGACGTGAATTATTTGTTCATAACTGCAGCCACTCGTCTCAGTAGAAATAGTTATTTTGTACTTTAGTACAAATATATAGGACTAATATATGGTGTTCCTGACTAGGCTGCTGACTTACAAGTTCTATTACTCAGAAATGATGCATCATAACAGTGTTATAAATGGAACAAATGTCTGCCACTTTAGTTTCCATTATTTACTTAATAAAACATCTCATATCATCTTGCGATTTCTGGCACAAGCTGTTCTTAAATACTCAAGTATTGCTTTATAAGTAAATTATTCAGTGCTTATGCATGTGTTTTGAAGTCCCTATGAATGTAGCCTGTTACCCCTCTGAAAAGCACATATATAAAAGCAATAGAGCACACAAGACCATGTACTATTGATGTTATTCATGATACCATGGTAACACACCTCGTATTCTGTATAGTACCAGTCAAACCCTACACACCCCTACTCACAGATATGTTATATTACATTTGTGGTATTTATCAATATATTTAACATTTTTTAAATTATCTCAAATAGACATCACATATGGAACTATACAGCGAGGAAATCCAGGTATCTTGGATTCTTTACAGTTGCCAATCCCTTGCCTGCAGCTTCACAAACTCTTGGCGTTCTCTCAAGCAGCTTCATTAGGAGCCACCTGCTTGTCCAGCAGGTTCGAAGAAAATACACATATGCTCACAACACACTGGTGGCTGAAAGCAGCTTGTTTGGATGCATTTCAAACATGAATGCAATTCAAATAGTGATGCATTATTTGGCAACACTTTGTAATGCCAGGCCCTAATAAACAGCAATTTAATCACTATCTACTAGCAACACCTTAGCAACCACTTGGGATTCAATAGCAACCAGTTTGCAATACCTCAGCAATCACCTAAAACACCATAGTAGCCATCTGGTGACAGCCTAGCAACCACCTGGGATACCATGGCAACCACTAAGCATCACCTTAGTAACCACCTGGGATACCATAAGCACCATTTAGCACCACCTTAGCAACCATCTGGAAATCACAGCAATGGGTTAGCAACACCTTAGCAACCACCGAAAATACCATGGTAGCCATTTGGCAACACCTAGCAACCAAATGGGATACCATGGCAACCACTTAGCACCACCTTAGCAACCATCTGGAAAGCACAACAACCGGTAAGCAACACCTTAGCAACCAACTAAAACACCACTGTAGCCATTTGGCACCCTAGCAGCCACCCGCTAAAGCTGCACAGTTATTTTCCTCAGGAAATGCACTTTTGTAGTTATGAACTATCATTAACAAACTATCAGATAATAATTGTGTTTTTAATTATAGGGCCATGTTAATATATAGTGTTACCTCTTTTTTGAGAGGGGGGCACCAATTCATACATAGTCATCATTTCCACTTCTTCTATACATCTTAGAACGAAATTTCAAGAATTCAAGCTCAAGTTTTTAGATCAAAGTATCTTCATTTGCCTTCATGAGGGTCACCTTTGTCCTTAACTTTCATTATCAACTACCTCAAATCTCTTTTATGAGAATATTATTTTTCAGTGCATAATATGTTAATTTGGTAACGCTTTCCTGTTGTATAACAGTGATATAACTGTGCTATAAACATGTCATATGCTCTCATAAGTTGTAATATGTCAGTTTGGTTACAATGTGTGTATACAATTGATATAAGTGTTTACAACTGTGTTATAAGGTAGAATTGCATGTTTTGTTCAGTAATAGTGCGGAACAAAGCAGTAACAATGTCATGTTACCATTACAGGTAACTCTAGTGATAGTTCTTGCTGTGCATTCTTGTTAGCCATCATGACCCAACATGTCATCTGTCATGACAATTAACTGTAATAGGAACATGACACTGTTATATTACTGATCATAATCTGTCATGACAGCACATGTTTATGGCATGGTGATGTCAGTGTTGTGTAGCAGGGTTCAGATAAGGTCTTACTGTCTTCTCTGATAAAATCAAATGCTGCATGTGTGTTCAGTTCTAGGTAAAATCCGGAGTGCGGTGGGCAGCGCTCAGCTCCTCATGTCCCAGAAATTCCAGCAGTTTTACTGGCTGTGTCAGCAAAACCTGGTACGTCATCACGTCTCTATTCCTGCATAGATTTCTGGGAGTGCTTCTGTGTATCTGTCTGTCTGGATATGGATATGTCTGCAGTAGAATTTGATAAAGGTAAAAGACGTGATTATGCTTTGTAAAAGTCCGCGTTTGGAATCTGGACTCTGGTCTGTAATGTAAGGTGGCTGTGTTGGTCAATAACACTGGACACTGTAATCCAAATACACAGGCCAGTTTGGTCCCTTGCTGCAATGACGCTGCGTAGCACGTCATAATTTTGTGTAATGAACTTTATTTTGAGAAAGTGAAAACTCTTGTGTGAGACTGCAGCAAAAGCAAAAGGCCTTGAGACCTGACAGCTATGTGTCTGTGTGTTTGTGTGAAAAAGAGCGAGAAAGAGATTTCATTTATTTATTTCTTTTTGGATACCCCCTTTGCACCAAATTGTTTCTTCCCTCAGACACAATCCAATATCCCAGATAAACCTGATTTCTCCTTCTGCAGGTTGAGCTGGACCCACAGCTCCATTACTGCTGCATTAGGGCCGTGTTACTGTTGTATTACAGACATATTATTGCAGTATTATGGCTATGTCACAGGTGTATTAGTACAGTATTAAGGCTATATTGCTGCTGTATTTGTGCCGTACTGCTGGCCGTATTACGGCTGGATTTTGGATGTATTATTCTGCATTACACTTTAGCAATAATAAGGCTACATGGCTGCATTGTTGATGTATTATGACGGTATGACTGATAGATTAAGACTGTGTCACAGCTATTTTATGGTTGTATTATTGTGGAATTACAGCTGTATTATGTTTGTGCTATGGCTGCATAACAGAGGCATTCCTGCCATATTATGTCTGTATTATGTATTACTGCTGTATTACAGCTGTACTACAACTGTGTTACTGTTGAATTATTGCTGTATTAATGCTGTATTACTGCTGTATTATTACTGTTACAGTTGTGTTACTGTTGAATTGCGGCTGTATTACATGTGTATTTATTGTTGTACTGGTGAATTAAGGCCCAATTAAAAGCTGTATTACTGCTATCTTACGGCTGTGTTACAGTTGTGTTACTGTTAAATCATGGCTGTATTACTGCTATATTACGGCTGTGTTACAGTTGTGTTACTGTTAAATTATGGTTGTATTACTGCTTTATTACAGCTGCATTACAGTTGTGCTACTGTTGAATTATGGCTGTATCACTGCTTTATTATGGCTGTGTTACAGTTGTGTTATTGCTGTGTTCTGGCTGTATTATTACTTTATTGTGACTGTGTTACAGTTATGTTTCTGTTAAATTATGGCTGTATCATGTCTCTGTTATTGCTGAATCACGGCTGTATTAATGCTATATTACTGCTTTATTATGACTGTGTTACAGTTTTCTTACAGGTGAATTAGGGCCCTATTACTGCTGTATTACAGCTGTACTCTGACTGTGTTACAGTTGTGTTACTGGTCCATTAGTGCTGTATTACTGCTTTATTGTAGCAATATTATTTTTAGAGTTATGGCAGAGTTACCACCGTTCTGGCTGTGCTGAAGTTGTGTTACTGTTGAATTATGGCTGTTCGATGTCTCTGTTATTGTTGAATTACAGCTGTATTAATGCTGTATTACTGCCATATTAGTACTATATGATAGCTGTGCCACTGTTGCATTCCTGTTGTATTGTCATTATTGAATTATAGGCTGTATTACTGCTGTATTACAGCTGCATAACAGCTGTAAATTGTCTATTTGCTGCAGTTTCACCCACCACACTTTCTTCCATACTTCAGCAGCCTCTACTGACAGACAACAACACATTAGCCAATCAGCACTCAATGGGAAAGCACAATTGCCCAATAAGAGATCAATACTTACGAGTAGTGAATAGCTGGTGGATGGCTCAGAAGAGTGCAGGAGAGGGTGTGTGTGTGTGTGTGTGTGTGTGTGTGTGTGTGTGTGTGTGTGTGTATGTGTTTGTGGAATAATGATAAGACAAACATCCTGTAAGATTTCTATTTCAATGATTTACACACAGAAAGCTCTTTAAAAACACCACACAAATATATTTTTTATCTAGACCACAATTAGGTAGCATGCAAGACAAAGCAAAAAATCCCCAAAACAAAATACTGAGTTACGATACAGTCCAGATAAAATGAGTTTCCATATCGTTCCATATTTTTATTATTCCACAGTTTAGAATAATAGCGAAGACACCAAAACTATGAAAAAGCACAAATTGAATTATGCCAAACAAATCAAAACTATCTTCAGTTTTAGCTTCTTCACAGCAGCCTCTCTTCACCCTCATGCAGTTTTCATATTCTTGACATTCTCTCAAGCAGCTTCATGAGGAGCCACCTGAGAGGAGTTTCCAACAGAACTGAAGGAAATACACCTAGGCAGAGACTTTCTTAGCTGCTATAAATATTTAGAATATAAATATTTAGAATTTTTGGAAATACATTCAAACATATGCATCAACTTCACTGTTTATATTTGCCTTAGAAACAAGTGCATAAACGTTGAAACCGTTAGATCAGAATGTCTTTAAGATTTTGGAAAATGTGCATCAATCAGGTGTGAACAGCTGGAAACATATTTCAAGTATTCAGAAGTTCCAGCAGGCAAAGATGTTCAGTGGGCTGGAGGTCTGGAGATTTCTCCCACCATACCCTGATTTGTGTCAGTTTTAAATAATGTATCCATGAATAATAAGTATCAGCTCAGTCCAGGTTTGGTTTAGTTTTTAAACTAACAGCCCTTGGTGGTGGACTCACCACCAGGTCAGTACTGCAAATACTTTAAAGAAAGTTGTGATGAGTTTTCACTGGTTTATTTATTAGAAACACCTACTTTGTGCTTCCACTCACTGGCCACTATATTAGAAACACCTATCTTGTACTTCACTCACTGGCCACTATATTAGAAACACCTACTTTGTACTTCCACTGGTGTCCAGAAAGCTGCCCCACCCCTTACGTAACTCTAATACATCTGATCCAGCCAATAAGGAACTTGGTAAGAGGTTGATTGGCTGGAGCAGGTGTGGCAAATTGTAGTTCTAGGTTCTAGGATCTGCAAAAAGGTAGCTCTCAGGACCAGGGTTGGAGACCACTGACCTACCCTGTACTTGCACTAACTGGCCACTTTATTAGAAACACTTACCTTGGAGTTCTACTCATTGGCCACTTTATTAGAAACACCTACTTTGTACTTCCACTAATTTGGCCACTTTATTAGAAACACCTACCTTGGAGTTCCACTCATTGGCCACTTTATTAGAAACACCTACCTTGTACTTTCACTGACTGGCCACTTTATTAGAAACACTTACCTTATGTGTCCACTCAGTTGCCACTTTATTAGAAACATATGCCTTGTAGTTCCACTCACTGGCCACTTTTTTAGAAACACCTACCTTGTGTGTCCAATCAGTGGCCACTTTATTAGAAACACCTACCTTGTACTTTCACTCACTGGCCACTTTATTAGAAACACCTCCCTTGTACTTCCACTTACTGGCCACTTTATTAGAAACACCAACCTTGTACTTCCACTGACTGGCCACTTTATTAGAAACAGCTGCCTTGTACTTCCACTCAGTGACCACTTTATTAGAAACACCTCCCTTGTACTTCCACTGGCCACTTTATTAGAAACACCAACCTTGTCCTTTCACTCACTGGCCACTTTATTAGAAACACTTACCTCACTAGGTTCACTGCAATTTAAAAATGCCTAGTCAGGAGTGGCTCTGTGGTTTTGTCCTTTTTTAATTTGATTTCTATCTATTCACTGACTTGTGTTGTGTTTGTTGGGCCTCTTTTTGCTCTTCAGTTGTTACGTGTAAATTTTGTTGTTAATCTCTCAAATTGTGGAGTCAGGGCTTTGATAGCAGAATGGCTGCTTTGTGTTGACACTTCTGCGAGATGGTTTTCGACTTTCTCGGAGCTCTTTAAGCATCCTCCAGGCACAAAGAAAGCCTGCAATAACACAGCAAACAGCTCCTGAGCACGGATTTCAGGCTGCTCGAAATTGTGACGTTGGCAACTAAGAGGCTTACCGAGCTGCCTAATTATGTTCACCGGCACTGTCATCTCTCTCGTCTCCTTTTTCTTCACTTTTCCCCAGATAGCTGCATGAATCTCCACATTCACACACATTCTGGCAGAGGGGGAGGGGCTTTTCTCCCTTTCAGAATCTCAAGGATTAAATCATACGCTGACATCATCTAAGTTTGAGTTGCTGGTCGAGTTTAAGAAGAGAGCTTTCTGCCTTTCAGTATGTGGAGGGAAAGAAAGTTTCACTTATTTATATTCATTTTCATCTTAGCATGTTTATTTAGCATGATAGCAAATGTCCTCAGGTAATAAACTCGCTGGCCACTTTATTAGAAACCCCTCCCTTGTTGCCCCACCTTGCTGGTGTACATCTGGAGACTGCAGCTCATCTGTTGAAACACAATCTTCTTCATCAGTGACCAGTCTCTGACCACAGAACCACTGTGGGCTGGATATTTTTGCATAGTAGACCACTCTCAACCTAGCAGTGACACTGCTGTGGCTGCTACAGCACTATGTAAATGTCAGAGTCAACATATTTAACAGAAAAATACACAGAGGAAATATAATATCACATTTTTTAGTGTTTATTGTGTCCACTCTTCACCTTTATTACAGCTTCCATTCTTTTCAGGAGACTCATTTTCAGTTTTTAAAGAAATCTGCAGGGATATTTTTCCACACTTCCTAAGTTCAGTCTTAGAAGTTGGTTGCACTTTTTGCTTTTCACAATGCAAGTAATCCCAACACTGTGTTTGAGGTCTGGACTCACAGTGAGTCCACTGTTCTGAGAACACTAAATGTTCGCTTTTGTGTCTTTTTTGACTGGAAATCAAGTAAATAAAGCGTGTTTTCAGACCACACACTACCATGTAACTGTCACTGCTGTGCTGAGAATGATCCACCACCCAAATAATGTCTGGGCAACGGTGGTCCTGTGGTCAAAAAATGACTAATTGGGTAGAGGGGGTGCTGACATGTTGTGCGGCAACAGATGGACTACAGTCTGCAATTGTACACCTATATAGTGGAGCTATAAAGTAGCTGCCAGCAAGTGGAAGTACAAACTGGTTAATAGTTAAGTTAGTATATTCATGTAAGGAGACATTTTTCTGTAAACCAGCTGGAACTTAAGAAACTGGCTGAAAATGTGCTGTATTTATTGTTGAGGTCCCAGTTGTTCCAGTAACCAGCACTGCAGTGATGATTCCTGCCTTGATTTTAAAAAAGGATACATCCTATTAAGCAAGCAAAGGGAAATAGTGTGGTGGGAAGCAGTACCTTTAAGATTCAGCTGGACTAATGTTGGCCAGCCTGTTCGGATAATATGACCTTGGCCTTTACTTGAGTTTGCTAGAGAAGCTAATTTGAATTCAGAAGAAACTGCGCTTTAGATACTTTACTGCTGATCATCAGCCTCCCCAACAAGGACATCTAGTGGTTGGATACAGAAGTGCAATGCACTGTGTTTAATAAAAACAACATACCTGCTTTTATTTGAGTTCAGGATAATATTTCTTACTGTTCAGTTCATAGAGTCTCATCTGAAAGTAAGCAAGGCCACTTCTTTTGTTTTTGCTATACACCAAAGACATTTAGGTCTTCAGAAAACATGCAGCATTTATTTCCTGATATTTACATCCAGATGTGTTAAACAACTCAGATATGTCACCTTTTGAACTCACCCATTTTTTGTTGTACACTCAAGATATTTGGATCAAAAGATGAAAATGGGATGAATATATTCAAACTTTTACATTTAGATGTGTTAAACCACTCAGAAATATGACACCTTTTTGTACCCACCCATTTTTCAAGAGAGCAAAAATATTGGAAAATGTGACTGACAGGTGTTTCTTGTTGCCCAGGTGTGCCCTGTTAGATTGATTGTTTAAACATTTAATAGACCTGAACGTCTACTCACGTTTGAGCCCTGGGTTTTGCATGTGAAGACTGCATTTGTTGTTAATAAGGATAAACAATGGGAGAAAAGCAAGCCATTTTGAAGCTGAGAAAAGAGGGAAAAATGGTACCAACCATTGCACAAGCACTAGCCAAAGCAACAATTTGGAATGTTCTGAAAAAGAAAGAAACCATCTGCCAACAACCAGACATCAACCAGGTCAGCCAAGGAAAACAACAGCAGTTGATGAAAGAAACTTTGTGAGAGCTGTGAAGAAAAACCCCAAAACAACTTTCACAGGGACAGGGGTAAAGGTATTACAATCCACCGTTCGAAGAGTGCAGAAATAGAGAGGCCACAAGATGCAAACAATTCATCAGAATTCACCAGATTTGAATTTGCAAAGAAATAGAAAAGTAGAAGCCTAAGTGTGGAGAAAGAAAAGATCTGCTAATGATCCAAAACAAACAAGCTCATCTGTAAAGCATGGTGGAGGTAGTGTCATGGCTTGCATGGCAGCTTCTGGAAGGGGCTCACTAATCTTTATTGATAATGTAACTCATGACGGCAGCAACTGATTGAATTCAGAAGTCAACTGGAACATTCAGTCTGCCACTTTACAGAGAAACACAATGACCCAAAAACATACTGTTAACACAACAAAGTGGACCAGGTTGATCACCAGACCTTAACTCAATTAAGCATGTATTTCACCTCCTCAGCTCCAGACCCCAACGTTTAAACATCAAACAAATGCATATCGATGTCTAATGTCTACTTAAAGTGAAGTATGTAATAACATGACCCCATCTATGTCCTGCAGGACCCTAGTGCCATGCCCCGGCCCACCTCTCAGGACCTGGCTGGATTCTGGGACCTGCTGCAGCTCTCCATCGACGACGTCACCTCAAAGTTTGACGAATTGCAGAAGATCAAGAGCAACAACTGGAGGCTCATTGAGAGCCCCGTGAAGAAGGTGAGCTTTAACTGGGCAGCAGGTTTGGTACAAAAATATGGACAAAATTCAGGCTTCAAAAAAGCTGCAGCTGTTTTTTAGCTGATACTTTTGTGCATTTTTATAGTTAGGAGTGTCTACACTCCCATGCAAAACAAAATGGGCAAAACATTAGGCTTTAACAAATCATTAGTCAGTAAATACACAAGAATTAAACAAATAGGTATAATAAGTTAGTATGGGACAGCTTTTCTCTTTGATTTCTTCATATATTGAAGTCTTGTGGGTAAACTTGCAGACAGTCTTTTACAGAAAGAAGACTCAGTATTGTTCCACTCAGCACTGATGGCTTCAAACAGTTGAAAATTCTTGCCAAGCTAGTTTGTGTTTAATGTAAGACCAGTTATTCTTTATAGGGTTTAAATCTGGACTCTGATCAGCACCTGTTCACCACCTGTTTTTGCACAGAAGGGTACATTACATTAAACATTTGTCAGAATCCACAAGTCTTTTTGAGATTACTTAACAACTCAAAGCAGTTTAACGCAAGTTAGTGATGATTTAGGCAGTTTTACTACAGGACAGGAATGCATAAAAGAGGACTGTATAATATCACAGAACACAGAACCACAGAAGTCTGGAACCCAAAGGTGTAGTTTTGGTTTCAGAAGTAGGGGGACAACATCAAACTGAAGCATAACCATGGAAATGGGTGTATCATAATCATGGAAGTAGTGTAGTTGTAGCATAACTATGGAAATGGGTGTAGTGAAACTATGGAAATAGGTTTCACACAGCTATTGAAAATGGTGTAGTGTAACCATGGAAATAAGCATAGAATAAATTTGGAAATAGGTGTAGCACAACCATAGATTGGTGTAGCATAACCAAGTAATTAGGTGTTGCATAACAATAGAAATGAGTGAAATGTAACCATGGTAATAAGTGTGGAGTAACCTTGAAAGTAAGTGTGTAACCATAGTAACCATAGTCATGGGTGCATCATGACCATGGAAACAGGTGTAGCGGAACAATGAAAATGAGTTTACTGTAACCATGGAAAAAAGATGTGGGATAATTATTGAAATGAGTGTAGCATAACCATAGAAATAAGTGTAGAGTAACTCTGGAAATAGTTGTAGCATAACAATGGAAATAGGTGAAATGCAATCATGGTAATAAGTGTAGAGTAACCTTGAAATTAAGCATCGAGTAACTATGGAAATAGCTGGTGCATAACCATGGAAATGGGTGAAATGTAATCGTGGAAATAAGTGCAGAGTAACTATGGAAATGGGTGTAGCATAACCATAGAAAAAGGTGCAGAGTAACCATGAAAATAGGTGTCGTAATTGTGGAAATGGTGTAAAATAATCATAGAAATGAGTGTAGCGTAATCAAGAAAATAGGTGTAGAGTCATCATAGAAATATGTGTAGCGCAACAATGGAAATATATGTAGATTAACTATGGAGTTATGTGTAAAATAACCAAGAAAGTAGGTCTAGTAATCACCACGGATGGAAATAGATGTAGAGTCACCATATAAATGAATGTAGTGTAAACATGGAAAACGTGTAAAGTAACCATGGAAATAAATGTAGAGAAACCATAGAAATATGTGCAAAATAACCATGAAAATAGGTATAGTAACTGTGGAAATACATGTAACTTAACCATAGAAATGAGTGTAGCGTAACCATAAAAATAGATGTGGAGTCACTGTAGAAATAATTGTAGCTTAACCATAGAAATAGGTGTAGAGTAACCATAGAAATTAGTGTAGCATTATCATGGAAAGAGGTGTAACGTAACCATAGAAATAAGTGTAGAGTAACTATAGGTGTAACTATGGAATATGTGTAAAATAACAATGAAAATAGGTGTAGCGTAAGTATAGAAATGATTGTAGCATAACCATGGAAATAGCTGTAAAGTAACTGTAGAAATGAGTGTAGTGTAAGCATGGAAATAAGTGTAGAGTAACCATGGAAATGTGTGTAAAATAACTATGAACATAGGTGTAGTAACTGTGGAAATAGTTGTAGAGTAACCATAGAAATGGTTGTAGCGTAACCATGGAGATAGATGTAGAGTAACAATAGAAATGAGTAGAGCGTATCCATGGACATAGGTGTAGAATAACCATAGAAATGAGTGTAGTGTAACCATGGAAATAGGTGTAGAGTACCCATAGAAATGAGTGTAGCATAACCATGGAAAAAGGTGTAGAGTAACCATAGAAATGAGTGCAGCGTAACCATGTAAATAGATGTAGAGTAACCATAGAAATGTATGTACCATGGAATCATGGAAAAAGGTATAGAGTAACTATAGGAATGAGTGTAGTATAACCATAGTATTTGGCTGACAGTGACGGTGTTTTTGTGTTTTGTCTCAGCTCCCGCCCCCCGTACCAAAGAAGACACTACGTAAGAGTGTGACGCGGGAGAAGTCTCTGGACCTGCCTGACCGGCAGAGGCAGGAAGCGCGGCGGCGGCTGATGGCCGCAAAGCGAGCGGCTTCATTCCGCCAGAACTCGGCCACGGAGCGAGCGGACAGCATCGAGATCTACATCCCCGAGGCCCAGACGAGACTGTGAGAGAGAGAAAGAGAAAGAGACACTCGGAGCAGGAGGGCCTTCATCTCCACGCCTTCATCACACAAGCTCCGCCCACTTCACCTTCATCAGCCGCGGCATCGTCATCTTCAGACAGCGCCAATAGCGCATTTTCTAATCCCCAGCTAGGCAACACGAGGGGGTCTGCGCCTGATCTGTAACAAACGAGAGCTGACCACGAGGACAAAACATCTAAACAAATGGAACCAACACCACTCATAAGGCTGTATTCATGAAATAATAAAGTATTTATAACAATTATTAACAGGAGCCAAAAGAATCTGAGGCTTTTACGCTACAGGCCGAAAGTTTGGAAGCAGCACTTACTTAACGTAAAATTAACCATGAAAATGTTGGTATTTTCTAGAGATAACAGACAGTGATGCATTTATTACACACTATGAAGCAGTTTCATTGAATGTTTAGTGCTCAGCTGACTATTTTTATCTAGCTGGCTGATGCTTTTTGATTTGTTCCTGCTAATTCTTCAGTTTTACTGCAGCTCCATTGGATATTTTTCCATACTTGTTGTGAGGACCTCCAAAGTTCAGTCGTAGAAGTTCGTTGCAATTTCTTGCACTCGAGTTGCTTTTATGAGATCCATGATGTGTCAATGAATGCATTTACATTTCAAATCAACCTACTTCATATTCTGTTTGTCTGCATTACTTTACTAGTTAGCTAAATTGGCACCTTGTATTTAACAGCAGATTTTGGCTGTTTCATGAAACTGAAGTTGAGACGCTTGCAACTGTTGCGGCTGAGGAAACTGCTGCGACTGCAACCTACAGGAAACAAAATTGCACAAAAGCGTCGTGCAACTCAAGTGCAATTTTGTTTCCTGTAGGTTTCAAGCAATTTAAGTTGCAAGAAAGCTTCATCAAGTAAAGCCAGCCTAAGTGAATGATGAAAAATTTTGGAAACCGAAAAAAATCTTCCAGAGCATCTCTGGTTCAACTAGGTGTCAACAAACATGTGTCTGTTTTTGTGTCTTTATTGGAAAATCATCTCTGCTTGCTTTCACACTTTCGGCCTGTAGCGTAAGTCATCAAGCGTAAGTCACACTGAACACAATCCTGTGTTAAATGTCAAATTCAAGCGTTAACATCTTGATGAATTCAAATTCAAGGCCACTGTAGAGAAGCAAAGTCGTAGTGGAGCACGTTTTAGGCATGTTGAGGTAAGCTGATAAGCTCCATCATTAAAACTGCTATCAGTTTAGCCTGACAGCCCACTAAACTAGCGTTTCGTAGTTCTTGACGTAGATATTATAGAAATAAATTTGGCTGCACTGTTCACGGGATTTGACACTGAGGGGGTCCCCAGTCTGAAAAGTGGTGCTTTCTCATTATAAGTGCTATTACGAACACTGGGATCTGAAACCAGCACCAGGTCACAGGAGACGTTCAGCTGTTTTTTGTTCTTGTCGTTTTAAAGGGGGTTCCCGAAAGTAATAGCGCCATTTTTTTATTTTCCGAAAATTTCGGAGCCCTTGTAGCTCCACCCCCCCATCCCACTCTCTCTCCATTTTTCTGTCTCTGCCTCTACGAGTCCATTATCTAACTATCCTGTGAACAATTGTGAAAGTGCCAATGCTTCAAATACCTCAAAACGTGCATGTTAGACTGTAGCTATATAGGTCAAAAAATGGGCAGTCTAATGAGTCCTTTGAACATTTATAGAAAATCCACAAATAATAACAATAAAAATGGGAAATCCCATATCAGATCACTCAGGTAGACAAAAGCTCTACTCTGATGGAAAATATGTCAAGAGTTAGTGGTACAAGCCGAACAACATCATCACCTTACCGACAGAAATCAAGCATCGTTGCGCTTGAACCACATATAAGTATAGTGCTTGTTTTCTTTTTTACACTTTCATACTCCATTCCATCCAACTGGTTTATATCCCATTTCATAAGGAGAGCTTTTTGGACAGTTTTGCGTAGAACTTTAAAATCAACAATGTATAGGTTACAAAAAAAATGCATTTTTGCACTTTCTTCTTCTAAATATACTCCTGTATGTATTTCCAAGGGAAATGTATTTATTGACGTTCACAAAAAAAAGAGTATTGTTGCAGTTGAATTGCAAGGTTGCGTGTGGGTTGCGATTTGAGTTTTTTCCGCCATTTTTCTTTCTACATGACCACCCCACCCTCGTCTTTCTTCAGGCAGGAGGGTCCTCGAAGTCTGAACGGCCAGTCAAATCTGATTTAGACCTTGTTTAAAAAAAGCTGATGCCATTATTTTTAGCAAATGATGCTGACAGACTCTAAATCAACCCAGGTTAATTAAGCAAGGAGAACCTGAAAGGAACATTTAACCTGGAATCTAAGCGCAGATACAGTGCGTAAACAAGTCTGAAAGAAAACAGTGAGTGATCCAACTTGTATTTGGCCTATCACGAAGCTTGTAGGAGTTTGGTCCACTTTCCAACTCAAGGCCATGAACGAATGGCTGTCTATTATGTTTGTTGTTAGGGTGGGAGGACTGACCATCGGCTCAGACGTCTTAAATTCTCCCGTGTGCATCTGAATGGCCATGATTTTTTGCCATATTTTACATATTTTGTCTCTCAGTGAACAAGGCAGTATCAAAAAGTGGATCCGGGGAGGTTTTGAAGCTCTCCCTGACCTTTCGTAGCACGACTGTGTTTTCTGAGCTTTTCCTCTGTGGCAGATGGTGATGAGACATGATGTGTCATTCGGGCCCCTGCAGAAATGGAGGCGGTGGGGGATATCTAGCGATCCAAGTGGATGTCGAGGGCGTCACTGGACAGACAGGCGTCTCGTCTGGCTTTGTCTTTGCGCAGCTCCTTTTTGTTGCATTGGGCTAGCGGTCAGCGCTAGCAAATGACCTTCCGCCATTGAATTTCTGTAGAGGTGAGAGGTTAATACTGCTATAAACAACATCCTGCAATCATGGTGTCTTTTGTAGGAGGTGGTTCGGTTTCTCTGAGGAATGGTTTCATAAAACCACCCACTTATGGTGCTGCTAACTCCATTAGAAACTTGGGTCCAAAGAAAGAAGCTTGGCCTCTTGTCCTGCACTCCTCCTTCTGCATGTCTGCAGGACTTTTTTTTCTTTTCTGGTCTTTATGCTCTTTACCTGTCTTATTGAGATACAGATTTATAAAAACAGCGGCAGTCACCTTTGAGTGAGTGCCCACAACATTGCACATCCTATTTTTCCTGGTCTCAGTGGGTCGCACCGTTGACAGGTTCACAGCCCTGTCTCCTGAGAGGTGGTCTCTAGGGTGAATGTGGGCTCGTTGTGCTGCTCTGAATGTCACCCTAGGTGACCCTAAGTGTCCTCTGACTTTTTTTTCCACAAAATAGATTCTGATTTGCGCCAAAGGGACTGCTAGCTAGAAGGCTTCAGTTTTTCCAGCTGCTAGCGCTCATTGTATTTTTAACCTCATTAGTTTTACATTAGGTTGTTACATCAGCCACTGCCCCCTGAACTGGCTCATTTCACAGATCTTCAGGGTAATCCAGGTGACCGCTAATGCGCTACGACCTCCACAACCACTAATTGTGGAAGTTATGCTTAGCAAAGCATTCGTTAGCTTTGCCCTAGCGCACTATTTGAACATGTGGGTAAAGCGGTCCAAAGATTTTGTTCCAGTGTCCAAATAGTGACCAAAGAGAGAGAGTCTTAGCGGGTTGCACTGCTGACAGATTTGCAAACGGTTCAAACAGTTGCTAACATGTTAAAGAACAACTAGTAGCTAAGCAAATATGATCTTTTTCGATGCGAAGCTACAAGTTCTTCAACTTGTTCCGTCTTGGCCCAAAAGCCTCTTGGGCCAGAGTGCTTTTTAGAGCACAGCACCACCATTTTAGCGAAAAAACAACCAGTTTCAACCATGAATTTTAACAGAAAGTAACAGAAAGGTTTGCCATTGTTATTGTTGCCTTTACTTAGCGGTTAAATGGTGAGAGTCTGAAAAGATGTTCCTGAGGTCGTTCACATGGCATTTTTATATCCACGTTTTCTTTTGCGTAAAACCTTTCAGATGAAAACATATGGTTGTTATTACTAACTGTCCTGGATGGGAAATTGATGCCTTACATTTCTGGTGCATGAGGTGGTCACACCATGCATTTAGTATTAATGTCATAGTAGTCAGTTTCCCTGGCCATAGGCATGGGTGGACTTTGAACTGTTGACCCAATTTCACATAGAGTTCTATCTACTCAATTGGTTGTCTACAAAGCATATAATACTATACACGATTGCTGAATTTGCACTGGAATCTACGACGTGTAAAATACCAGAAATAATGGGTGGTTGGTGTTACTCATTAACGTGTTTTTTTGTGCTAAATTTGGGCTCTTTTATTCATTCAAGTTCTCATTATTTAAAAAAAAAGTGAAGCTTTTGCAAACGTAGCCTGTAATATTGTTGTGGCGATGTAGGAAGTGTTTATGAAGATAAGTGTGTAGTGCATCATCGGATTTCTCTTGGGGTTCTCTCAGTCCCATAATTGGTTTCCGCTCTCAAAAACATACAGTTTTTTCAGTATGTGGACCAGGCTAGGAGGCCAATGCACAGGGAAAATGTGCCAAATGCTATAAGACCCCCCCCACCCCCACCCCCCCCAGTCTAGACACCAATTAGGCCCAGTTCTAGACTTTGAAAGGACTTTTAATGGCATATCACCTTCTTCAAGGTAATTTACTCCAGGAGTAGGCTTAAATTGTCCTGACAGCCTCCCTTGAGTGCACCAAACCTTGCATTCAGCTAACTTTAAAGGGGCCATATTATGGAAACCCAACTCTGTCTGTTTGAACTAAAAGCTTATTACAATGTTATTACAATGTTAACTCTGTTAAAGTTGAAAATGTCCACATGGTTTATGTATGAAAACTAAGATATTTTGATTTTATCTTGGTTGTAATGTCAGAATTATATAAGGCTGCCAGTTCAGCACACAGTAATTTAGCCACCCATTTAAAAAGAAGTGATTTGGAGTGTTGTTGCTGCAGACAGTCTATAGCACAGTTATTATTACAACTTAACTCCATGTGTTTGAGCTACAAAGAGTGGAAAAACATATGCACCTCCAGGAAAGTGATTCTGGTTAGCGACAACCCTGCAAAAAATGATATCTAAACAAGAGAATTCATCTTAAATCTAGTTTAATTATCTAATATTTCTCATTCAGAGATGGTTTTATGAACAATGTAAGATTATTAAACTTATTTCTAGATTTTTTTTACTTGTTTAATTTCATCAAGTAAAATTATCGCATAATTTGGCTTGTTTCAAGCACGTTTCTTGAAATAAGAAAAATTATCTGCCAATATAGTGAGATTTTACGCAATGAAATTACTCAAAACACATAACAAATGTCTAGAAATGAGTTAAATAATCTTAGAATAAGCTTACAAAAATCTCAACATGAACAATATTAGATATAACAAGCATATTTAAGATCATTTCACTTTCCAAGATACACTGTCTCTTTAAACACACCTGATTCAGCTCATCAGCTAATTAGCAAGGCCTTAATGGACTGAAGTCAGAGCGTTAGATGAGGGTAAATGCTAATCTCCATAGTACTTTGGCCTGGAAGGTCCCCAGTTTGACAGGCCTGCTTTAGTCGAACACACCACAAGATGTATAATACATTGGCTGTGAGGAAGCAAATGGATCATTTTGGCCTTCTAAAGTTTCCACACCTCCAAAAGTCGACTGATGTTCCTAAGGATCGTAGTCGACTTATCAGTTTATTCCACATTTCGTCCTGCACCACTTTCGGAACAAGGTAGCAAATCAGAACAAAGATTTTTTTTTCCATTCTTAAAGGGACAGTAACAAAAAAACAGCCTATTTAATTCAACTAGATAAAGTATTGTGGACAAATAAATGAAAGAAAAATGCTGAATATGGCCCTTTTAAAGTTTATAGTGCATTAAAAAGTGCTGAGTAATGTCTTGACCCCTATGATTGGTTGCCTGACTGCATATCATGCCTAGTTCTGGACTAAAAAGTAGGCAGGACTAGGTGTGAGGAGTCTTCTTAGTGGACATTGGACTTTGCCTATAGTCACTAATGCTCTGTATTTCTTAAAGGAAATATTTTCCATGTTGCAATCGCACATCTGTCAAATGTTCCCGGTGGTGGAGCTGTACAGTGCTACGCAGTTCTTGTCGTAAAAGGACAATGCGCCACTGTTCTCCAACAACAGAGGCGGCTTATCTCTTGGCTGTTACATTCAGTTCTATTTCTCAGTCAAGACTCTGTAGCCGGCAGCCGAGGTTTGCACAAATGGACGAGAGAAAGTCATGGAAATGATTTGCAAAGTTACAATCATATTAAATAGTGTACTCTTGCCATTAACACAGAGCCATAAATTCAATGTAGAATTGTAGTACTAGCGCGATAATGCTAATATTAGCAACGTTAGGGTGGACGTGTTGTTTAGACAAGCAATCGGTGTGTATTATGACTCCATTCAATGTATCTCTTAAGATTAGCCCATATTCCTTCCCACCTAAGATCATTTATACCTGCTATTAAACAAGGTGCATTTAAATCCCAGTGCTAAAAGCCGTGGGCCCTGATATTTTAGCCTGTCTTTTTCAGAACCACCTCCATTTCAACTGAAACTGCTTTATGTTTTTCTTTATTTATATCACCATCCAGTGGAGTCAAGGCTGAGAGTTCAGTTGTTCGGTTCTCGGAACGTGAAACGATGCCGAAAAAGAAAAAAGACAACTAACGAAGAAGATTAATAAATTTAAAAAAAGGTAGTTGTTTAGCTAAGAATATTTTCATTTATTATACTGTATAGGCTTATCATATCAATATTAAGGATGAATATAATACCAAATATTCATTATTTGTACAGAAATATATATATATAGATATATATATATATATATATATATAAATATAAATATATAAATGATGCTTCATCGAGACAAAAAAACTATTTTCTGCTCTTCCTCATAGTTTAGTTTCTTTAATCTTTTGTTGCCTGGGTTGTTTTGATACACTCTTATGATGGCATGCAAGATACTGATATTGAATGTCTGATTTGTCGCTTCATTGCTTTTTGTATCACATTGTTGAATGTTATACGTTGATTTATTTGTTTACATTTTATGGCACAAAAAAAAAATGTATTTATTATCTATTGATTCGAGTGTTTCATTTGTGTTTAAAATATGGTTTGGAGGCATTTATGGTCACTCCGGTTCTTTGGGTTTCTTTTCACAAGATCGTTTATTTATGGCTTTGGTCATCCAAATGTAAATATTTCTGCCATTAAATTTTTTGGAAGAAAACACTTGCATATTATTGTGAACTTCAGTCTTTTCTCTATGGAAGTCCGTTTCTGCCACTGGAAAAGAATATAAAGTCATTTAATATGTCATAATAATGAAATAAATTCCCATAATTATGACTTAGTGTCTCATAATTATGACTTGCTATCTCATAATAATGACATGATACTTATACTCATAATAATAAAATGGTGTCTAATACTAATGAGGAAATTTCTCATAGTTATGACTTAATATCATAATAATTACTATCTCATAATACTGAGAACATTTTCTAAGAAAGAAGTCATAATTATGAGATGCTAAGTAATAATTATGAGAACCTAAGTCATAACTATGAGATACTAAGTCATAATTATGAGATACCAAGATGGTCATTATTATGAGATGCTAATAATAACTGAAATATTATTAAGATTATTATTAAGATAAATCATAATTAAGAGAAAATAAGTCATAATTATGAGAAAATAAGTCATAAATATGAAATGCTAAGTCATAATTATGAGCAAGTAAGTCTTTGTTATAAAGATAGTAAGTCATAATTATGACAGTCGTTATTATGAGGTGCTTATAATAATTGAGATATTAAGTCATAATTATGAGATTGAATCTCACCATTTTGAGATTTTAAGTCATAATTATGAGCCTAAGTCATATTTATGAGATAATTATGTCATAATTATGACATAGTAGGTGATTATTATGAGATACTAAGTCATAACAATGAAACAGTAAATCTTATGAGATTGAGTCTCACTATTTTGAGTTACTAAGTCATAATTATGAGAAGGTGAGTCATGAGTATGAGACACAATCTCAGTTTCATGACATAGCAAGTCATAATTACGAGGAAAAATTCTCATTATTTTGGCTAAATGGCTATATATTTGTTCCAGTGGCGGAAACGGGCTTCGTTACTTCTACATCGTTCCATACTTCACCAATATGTTCACAAAAAAAAGTTTAGCATTGCAAACAAATGTAGCGTCGTACAGAAAACTCAGCATTTTGATTGGTTCCCGACACGTCACTTACATCCAAGATGACCAATCAGTGGTGAGAAAGGCGACAGGAGGCGGGATGTGTCCACGCATGTGACCAAATGGATGTCATATGAAAAACACTGTTAAAGAAAGCGGAGGTGTGAAGGAATGGAGTGGACAGCTTCTTCTTAAAAGGCAAGTAAGCTTGAGATTTTAACCTAAATGGCTTGTAGTCTAATGTACGGTGCGTTTGAGGTCGTTTATTTCGCTAAAATGGTCTTTTTAAGGATAAGTGCTAAGGCTACGCTTACACTTAGGCGTGCAGTACCGGTTAGCTTGTTAGCTAGCTAGCTAGCTAACCTGAACTACCACAAGGCACTTGACTTCAGAGACCTCAGAGGACAACAACGAACTGCACAAATGTACTAAATCAATAGAGAGACGTTATTTTACTCTAGGAGCAACAAACTATACTCTTTTCAATGACATAAGGTTCAGTCAGACGCTGAACAGCCAGTGAGAGATGCTTGTATGTACGTATAGGTATTGGTGAGGTATTTAACGTTACTGATAACATCGATGCTACCGCGTAATAGATTTAAAAGGAAAATCCACCGATTTTTCAACATTTCTGCATAGTTAAGTGGCTAAGATGTAAACAAAGTCAACAAATAGTGTTTTAGTGTGAAATGCGCCATCCTAGAGAAACCTACGAAGTCAGAATTGTTCACAGCGGTGGTGATAGGAACCAGACGTCTGAATTGCTTAATTCCTCTAAAAGCCTCCTCACAGAAAGTTAACACTTGAAATGGTGAGATATAGGTTACGCTTCCCGATGTCTAACTCATTGTTTTATGATGTTTTGGGTTAAAATGCATTTTAATCCGTTTTTTTAGTTCATTTATGGCGGAGGGGTACATGCAGGATGTTGTAAGACAAAATAGTCCCCAAAGAAAACTTTCTTTTTCAGATTTATGGCTTTTTTACCATCATCAACATTCCATATAAAAACCCAGAAGGCAAGTGTAGGTTCACTGGTGGTTTTGGATAGTGAATGAAATGGATGTATTTGAGTTGTAGACATTGTGACCCCTGGTTCCTGTCAGCACCACCGTAAAGAAATCTGAGTCTGTAAGTTTCTCTACCGTGATTCTAAATTATTCTGAAATTGGTGGAATTCCCCTTTCATAGACTTAACGTCTTGTGAAGTTATTTGTCACAAGTCTGTTCTTCAGTCTGTGTGGTAGAGAGCCCCTGTTCCTAGCTATGGTCGATTCAAGAGAGCTGCTTGGGTTCATTTGCATGTGTTTGGTTTCTGTGTTCATTGAGAGAGAGAGGGAGGGAGAGGGAGAGAGAGATGCAAGACACACAGCAGTTTGTCCAGTTGACACACGTTACATGTAGGTAGCAATGTATCATTTCCCCATTTTTCATTATCAGTCTAACCACTTCTCTAAAATGGCCGCCTGTTTATCAACATCTCGTCACTCTCAGCAGTGTTCACACTAGGGAGTGTTTTTTTTTCCGGGAGGATGTGGTTGGCCATTAACCTCAAACTTTAGGTCACTGCTCTGCTGGAAAACCCTTTAAGGCGGGGGTGTCAAACTGAGTTCTTTCTGGGCCACAGAGTTCAGCATTGTGCCTCATTAAACATCAGCTTAAGGACTTCATAAGTTGAGCTCTTGCAATGAAAAATGTGAATTCTCTTTGGTAAAAATCACATAACGCTGTTGTTGGAAGAAAACATCATGTTTGATGTTTTTCAGTTTTTGACATAATTTGAAAATTATTATTACATGATGTGTAAATTTCATGATGAATGGACCAAAAGAAATGACCCAAAATGACATGGAAAAATGTCTGGTTCCATTGACTTACATTGTAAATGAAGTAGTTTTTCCCTTCACCTGTAAAGTTACCATTTTGGAGATACGAGGTTTGACAAGCATGGTATGCCGCTGTTTTGATGCCCTGTATTTAAAATTAAGGGGCCACTTAAATGTAGATAAAGCATATTTTGGTTTTTGAAAGCAACATTATGTAACATTTCAACCTTAAAATAACAGCTTCAAAATCATTTTGTTGGTACACTTTGGAGGAGTAGGCTTGAAACCTCTTGTGAGAACTGCGTAACGCTTTACGGCACCACATCACACACCAACAGCTTTGGGTCTTCAGCTAGCTTTAAGAAGAAGCTAGCTGGGATTTCCAGCACAGACATCATAGCAGAGGCTGCGAAGAGATCAAAGAAGGCGTTGTAAGAGGAGATGAGGAAGAAAAGAAGCAAGTGACAGAGCAAAAGACCAGACAAGAGTAAATTTCAGACTGGCTTTTACTCGTTGGCGAGAGCTAAAGAGATGAAAGGATGCTAATGGGAAAACAGTGGAAATCTGAGCAGAGTGTACATCCCTGCAAATGGTATTTCTGAAAGACAGAGATCTCATTCCTGTCTCACGGAATTTGGTCAGTTTGGTCAGTCTTTGTCAATCTCACACCAAATAAGCCTAAGTTTGCAGCCTCCTGTGTTACAATCCTGTAATATTACTCTACAATGGCTGTTTACATGCAAGGAGTTTTGCCAATCTGACTGAATAAATTCTGATTATAGATTTAGACTGAGGTGTTTATCTGCTCACTCTGCTCTCTAACTGTTTAAAATCTCTGTTTACATCCACACTACAAGTAATCAGGTCCAACATTACATGCACACATAGAGAACCACTTAGTGTAGACGTTACCATGGCAACGAGCATCACGTGAGTCCAGTCAGAGTGAGATGAGCAGCGGTGAGCAGCGCTTGTGTTTTTAATTACTTTAAAATGATGTCAGACTCAGGAAAACTTATTAAAGAAGGCCGAGAGGAAGACGTCGTGTTCTCAGACACATAAGCTGGACTCCCGTCCCACCGCCGTCTTTTAAAGATCAGAGCATAAACTTCGTCTCCTCTGCAGACCAGTTTCTGCTCCACCATGTTGAACGGTATAAACTTTCTTATGACACGACAGACATGCAGAACATACTTAATCTTTCCGATTGGGGATGTAATCAGATACAGGAGTTTAAATGGTTATTATTCTTCTGTTTAACAGATTATGTTCAGGATTACCCACCTCGTTCCCTCAGATAGAAATTGTATTCTGATTGAGGTGTATACATGAACGTGTATACACTGATTCTGTCTCGATTTCTGGCTGATACGTTTTGTCCCATGTACATTTTTCCTCCAAATATCACTGAACGGGACCATGGCTAAGGGCACAGGGGCTCCACTAAAGTGACCCAATTGTAGAGAAAAATGAGTTTATGGCGTAAAACACTGCATACAAGATGTTACATCCATTATTCAGTAGTCGTAGTGGCAAAAAATCGCTGTAGGTGCACAGCCTTACTGTCGGTGTCTGACTGTAAATTTGAAAAAAGTGTTTATAGCTAGCAAAGCTTTTGGCTAGTTAGTAGTATGTACAAATACATGGTGTTTAGACTAGAAAAATAATCGAGTTTTAATGGCATTGTGATTGTCTCTTGAAAGATTCTGTTTATGAAAAGTGGTATTTTGTTTAGCCTCTGTGTGCCCCTGCTGTACATTATAAAGTAGGAGACTTTGGTTCAGCCCAGATTGGAGCAGGACGAATATGCAGGAGGTTCTCACTATTGCATGCATATTTGCTATCACAACATAGTCATACAATTCTTGTATGTGAAGTTAGAATGTGGTTTCAGTGCAGGATATTGCTAAACATATTGCTAAACAACTAACACGCTAATTCCGTAATATTCAGAGTCAGCTTTTAAGTGTTTACTGAATGCTTAACTTTAAAGCTGCGGAGTACAAAGTCAAAATATGCCGGGGGTTTTCCAGAGACTTAAATGTCCCAGTGATTTGGATGAATACAGTTCTGAAAATATAGTAATTCATGGTTCTCCATGGACGTCTATAGCTGAATTCCAGAGTAACTGTGCTAAAACAATGGAGAACACCTTGTTTTTTTTCCCTGTATATTTATAAAGCACTTGGACATGACTTAAGAAATCTTTTACTCAAGGAGAGCCCCTGTAGCAATTTGAAGTCTCTCCAGCAGGGGGTGCAGTTAGCACGCAAGTCGTTTTTGTGTGAAGCAATTAAAGTATTTAAACAAGAGCTGAAAGTTTTCAAAACATATTTAACATGAATTTCATGAAAGATTTCAGTCAAATCAGTCAATGTAAAAAGCTGCAGTAGTAACAAATACAGGGAAATCATAATGTAGGCTTTAGAAATTAATAGTGGAGATGCATCGAGAGATGTTCTGTAATCGCATCCTGGCACCCTGAATCGAATCGTTAGGTGCTTAGAGAGTCTCACCCCTAATTTGAACTGAATTGGTTGACTCCACACCTCTTTTACCCAGATTGTTATTTACCTTCTGTGTTCCAGGTGGTTGTAACTTATGGGACCTGCCCTTAGTACATACTGGTCAGGGCAGAACGATGGCCTCCCAGCCCACTATCACGACTACTATAGAGCTCCCCACTAGCATTTTCGACTTGGACTACTCATCCTGGGAGCTGCGACTGCAGGTCATCGGCCTGGGCTTCCTCTTCTACAGCCTCTTCTTCCTCATCTGTCACATACTCTCCGCAATACTCTGCCTCACCTACCATGCTCTCCCTGCTAGAGAAAAAGTGAGTGTGGGGTTTTTTTTTATTCCTCTTTTGGTCATGAACCATCTGTACTGCAGTGGTGGTTTCATGTCAAGACACACCTGCAGCTTATCTCATGAAACAGGATCTCATGCTTGAACAGCCAGCTTTAAGTTTAGTTTAAATAGAGGTGGTGAGATGGCAAAAATGAATGTCCTGAGAGTTTTCAAGATGCAAGAGACGTCAAGATGTATATTTTTTTATTATCAAAAAAGAACCAGTAGTGCCACATAGAAAAATATTTAACATCAAATGCTGCACTAATTTTCAATTGAACAGGACTTCTTACGCTCTCTTTGCAGTAAATCATGCAGTAGGTGCATAGAAGTTTACTTAGAAAAGCGTACTGTGACGTAATTTGTCTGATCTGTACTGTACTGTACTGAAGTCTTCTGAAAATAATGGAATCTGTAACAACAGCTGCACACACTTTACATACATTAAATTATAGGTAAGATATACTGGCTGCTTTTTAGTGATCTTTTTAATTCATGCAGTACAGAGTTTGACACTCTGATAACTGAGAACTGATATAGCTACTGTTTGTAATTACCTTTATTGTGAACATTGATTTTTATTGCACCATTATAGCCATGCGCCCCCGTTTTAGGTGAGGCAGTTTTAGGCAGATCTTAGCAATCAATTGGAATTGGCCTCAGTTGGCTTTGATACCAGTCTTTCAGATTGGCACATCCATAAAAGTGATAGCAATGGCATACACCGATCAGCCATAACATTAAAACCACCTCCTTGTTTCTACGCTCATTGTCCGTTTTATCAGCTCCACTTACTATATAGGTGCACTTTGTAGTTCTACAGTTACAGACTGTAGTCCATCTGTTTCTCTGCATACTTTGTTAGCCCCCTTTTACCCTGTTTTTCCATGGTCAGGACCCCCATAGAGCAGGTACTATTTGGGTGGTGGATCACTCTCAGCACTGCAGTAACACTGACATGGTGGTGGTGTGTTAGTGAGTGTTGTGCTGGTACGAGTGGATCAGACACAGCAGTGCTGCTGGAGTTTTTAAACACCTCAGTGACCTGTAGGGGGCCTGACCATTGAAGAACAGGGTGAAAGGGGGCTAACAAAGTATGCAGAGAAACAGATGGACTACAGTCTGTAATTGTGGAACTACAAAGTGCACCTATATAGTAAGTGGAGCTGATAAAATGGACACTTTTTTTTGTGTAGATACAAGGAGGTGGTTTTAATGCTACAGCTAATTAGTGAATGTTATTCATCAATGTTTCAAATAAATTTTAAAATGTTATAAATAAATGATATGAATAAAGGTGACCATCTTATATCTAATGTGCAGGTGTTCTGGGACCTAGCAGCCACACGGGCGCTCTTTGGCGTTCAGAGCACGGTGGCTGGTCTGCAGGCGCTCACTGAGGACGGCGCTTTGTTTGCTGATAAGGTGAACGGTCAGACAGGTTGGTCTTGGTTTAATGTGTTGACAGCAGTGGGCTTCTTCCTGTTTGAGAATGTGGCGCTGCACGGCTCTAGCTTGGTCTTCCGCTCCTTTGACCTGCCGCTGGCCGTCCACCATGCCTTTGCACTAGCTGGATTCGCTGGGGCTGTGCTGTGGAACACTGTGGGTCACTTCCTGCCCATGGTTACCCTACTGCTGGAGATGAGCACACCCTTCACCTGCATCTCCTGGATGCTACTGAAGGTAAGGAAGCAACTGAGAAAAAATACATATTATTGGTTTAAAAACTAGGGAGCCAGAATTAGACAAAATTCAAATGCTGAAAGTTAAAAAATGTAATATTAAGCGGATACACTTATATCTTGTATGTTCTTATTTTTAACAGTAAGGTATTTGAACTCTGCACTTCTCTGTCGGGCATAGAAAGGCTACTGCAGCCAGCTGAAGGCTACTGCCACTAATATTGAGTAAACTGCATGCCTAAATCATCACACACTTGCATCAAACCATAGTAAATTGTTAAGTAAACAGATTTATGTTTTAGTTTTTTTTCATAACTATGGAAAGTATTTTGATGTGTATGTTAAAAAAACATTTATTTAAACATGCATTTTTTTGTAAATTCTTTATGTGTGGAAATGAACTCTTTGCCCTAGTAAGTGAAAATGCTTTGCAGTTGAGATGCAAAGCAGGGATGTGTGTCTGATTCATTTAGAGAGACTGATCAGTACAGGGACTAACAGACTGAACGTTTTGTATTATTGGTGAAAATTGAGAATCAGACCTGCTCGTTTTCAACTGGTGCATGTAGTGGATTGACATTTGGGAAACTAACTGATCCATCTCTTCAGTTTCACTTCACCATGTGAGGTTTCTCTTCCTTTGCTAGGTGTGAACACTGTACATGTGAAAGTGTTTGTAGTAAAAAAAAGTGCTTTATTTGCTTGTGGCCAGGCCACACTAATACCAAAATTGGTGATGTATATTTCTTTGAAAGAGGAACTCATTCTACCATGACATTTGTCAAGGTTTTAATATTTTGATGCATCTTCGAGGCAGAAAATTACAAAATGTTAAAATCTAAGACATTACAAATCATTGTAATGGTAATTAGTATAAGAAATAGTTAATAAAAACACAGTTTGTTCCCTTTGCCTTGCACATAGCTAATAGCTTCTTTCTCCTGCTTCTTATTCTAATTTTCCATTCCACCTTAAAGGGTGTGGCAGCTACATTCTGGCACCTGTTGTGGAACTATTTTTAAGTTTCTACTGTTCACTGTTGAGTGTTGAGGAGGTACAATAACCAAGAGTTTAATATTACAGGTTTGATTCCACTTAAATGTCAATCAAACTTGTAATATTCATCTCTTTAATTTCTGTTAAAATGCTCAGTAAGTAAAATGTATCCATTTTTCAAGGTCAGGAAAAAATCACAAAAGATATTTAACAGAAAATTACTCAGAAGCCTCAACAACTAAACAGAGTTTTTCAGTATTTAGTGTGTCACTGTTTTCCTTTATTAAAGTTTCCGTTCTTTTCAGGAGACTCACTTTCAGTTTCTCAAAGAAATCTGTAGGGATATTTTTCCATACCACCAACGTTCAGTCAGTAGTTGGTTACATTTTCTGCTCCAAGGTGGTCAGTCTGATGTTGTAAGAAAACCAGCAGCTCTTCGTTTAATTAATTTGTTCTTGGTCAAACGTTTTCCAGATGACATCGCATGATGTACTGAAATGTTTTTGTATTTACCAGCATTCATGGTGCCTTTGATCAAAAACAAGTTTCCAACAGTTTTGGTTCCAAGAGTTTCATGTTGTCTGTATCTTTTGATTCATTTTTGAACTTCAGTTTTGGAAACTTTCTTTTTTTAAATACTTATTTTTCTTTGACTCTCTTCTTCCTACACAATACACAAGTAGATTATGTCCTCAGAAGTGTCTCTTTTAGCCATTTTAGATGTACATGATAAAGGAATGTTTGACTAGTTCCCCTTGTGCATGTTTGTGTCTTTAAAAGGTAACGTTTATCAGTTATAGTAATAATAATAGTAAAGTACATTTGATAATACATATAAAACATGTTTACAAAATGCTTTACAGGAAAATAAAACTGATTTAAACAGGTTGAAACATCTGTGAAATATAATACCAGTGCAGTTTTAAAAAATCATTTTCTCTCTCTCTCCCTCCTCCTGTAGGCTGGATGGTCTCAGACTCTGTTCTGGAAGGCTAACCAGTGGCTCATGATCCACATGTTCCACTGCCGGATGGTGCTGACCTACTATATGTGGTGGGTGAGCTGGAGCCACTGGACTGAACTGAGCATTCACGTGCCTCTGCCTCAGCGGCTGGTCTTCTTCACCGGCCTCGCCCTCCTCACCGTTCTCATTAACCCCATATGGACGCACAAGAAGACCATGCAGCTGCTCAACCCGGTGGACTGGAACTTCAGCAACAAGCCTGCACGTGAGAACGGTCCCAAAGGAGAGAAAGCCCACACCAGCTGATCTGTACAAAGAGCTGTTGTGTTGAGTCCTTTGCTAAAGACTCTCAGATGTGGCTGATTGGTTGAAGGGTGATGGGACAGTTGGGACAGTTTAGTACTAAAAAAATTGGACTTGCTGACTTATTTCAAGGTGGCTATGGTTGGAGATTTAGTTTTTGGTGCTGCTACTTGATAGCAAAAGATTGTTATTTTCTTGCTATTTTGGTAGCGGTATGATAATGACGTATTTAAATGGAATAGTTTGGTAAAAAAAATCACGTTTACAGTTCCCTCCTCCATCCCAAATTTCATTGATCATCCAAGACATGTCTGGTATCTGAAGTTTACCTCTTCAGTTTTGAAAAGCTAGTGTACTTAACATGACAATGTCCCTTCGGGATCAATAAAGTTCTATCTATTTATCTAACAAACAATGTAAGCTTCTACCTCATTAATTAGCATAGACAACAGGACGACATGTAGTAGGTACATTGAAACTAAAGATGCAAACTTCAGACACCAAACATATTTTGGCTGATCGACTACATTTGGGTTGAGGGGGAAATTGTGTAGATTTGATTTTTGGCCAAATCTTTCCTTTAACAAGCTGCTCATTTTATTGATTGCCTGCTAGGCTGCCATGTCAAAACCACTCAGCTCAGTGTTGGCAGGTACTCTTCTCATCTGTTTATTATTTAATTTCACATTTAAATTAACATTTCTTCTCAAGTTCTCAGTTCTTTGACTTATGCTACACTCCTAAAAAATAAGATGATGCTTTAAGGGTTCTTTAGTAAAGAAAATGGTTCATGATCAGTCACAGAACCCTTTGCATGATTAAAGCGTTATTTGCATCATGAAAGGGTTCTTGAGACTGATGGAGAATGTGCTGTGGATGGTTCTACATAGAACCTTTTTTGAACACGGTTCTATATAGCACTTAAAAGGATTATTAGATTGTTATGATGTCAAACTTGTAACATTAGAAGAATAGAACCCTTTTTGGTGCCGTAAAGAACGCTTTTCAAAAAGGGTCTATAAAGAACCATCAACAGCACATTCGTGCACATTCTCCATCAATCTGAAGAACTCTCTCATGATGCAAAGAACCCTTTAATTAGGCAAAGGGTTCTTTGAGTGTTTATGGTTCTATATAGAACCCTTGAAGAACCATCTTGACATATATGGGGTATCTTTTACAATGTGAAAGCCGACTGTATTTCCCTCTGAAAGAAACTGAGAGAGTCACCATGTAAGGGTATATAGCACTGAGCTGTTGTGAGCACAGCGGTGGTAAAGTTCCTTTAGAATGAGGCTGGAGGTTGACCTGCAGGCAGCCCGGTCCTGCCTCCGCACGCCAACGATGGTCACTCTCAGCCACTCTTGGCTACTGGCTTTAAAGAATTAGTTTGGCATCAAAATCTAATTTATATAAAATGTAGTCATTTGTCAAACATGAACAATAGTGGGGGATGCATATTTCGGAAAATGCTTTTGACCAGTAATCGACCGTCTGCGATTGATGACCCACCTGACCCATCAACATGTCTGGTGTAAAAAGTGGAAAGTTCCAGTTCTGAAATCTGATTGAGCCACGTTTTAAGCAGTGGGTAGTACCTAATATTTAGTCTTTTATTTCTATTTCTTCTGTATTAATGCACTTAGATATTAAAAAGTGTTCCTTGTGTGGACTGTGGAACGTAGTTGGTGGGGCCAGGCATAATAAAGAGCTACTATTCAGCGATAATATCAGAGCTGCTGAAAGTTCTGTATTTTAAACTTTCCTTATTACAAGCCCAAGTTAAAACTAACTGTACCTCAGCCTTAATGTACCTCAGTAGCTCTTGAAAGCCTTCACCATCCACCCTGTCCTTCTGTTTAACTGTGCACACTCGTGGATTTCCTCACACCGCCACGCAGCACATTCAGCCTCAGACAACGTGGACTTGTTTGTCTTATTGCTTGTGGCTGTTTGCTTTCAGTATAGTGGATTGTTGTAGTTGTGCTTTCGTCCTCTGGAAAAGTGCCTCTGAAGGACACTATTTTTAGCTGTGCACTTCATTTTTTAGTAGGCCTGTCTCTTGGAACTGATTGCCTATTGCGCCCTCAGGCATATAATTCAAAAGGGTCCCTCAACTTGAATGATTAACCTGCCTATTCAAGTAGGAACTGTTGTTTACTGGAAATGAGCTAAAATTAAATTAATGTGTTAGCCGATAGCGCTGGTCAAACAATTGTTTGTTGGTTAATCGGTCAATCATTTATATCCCTACTGCATAAACAGTAGTAGCCATGTTGAGGCTGGATTTTTTTCTCATCTTTTGTCTGTTTTTTATAGATAAGTCTCTCATACAGTGTCAGAAACAACATAAGTAAGTCTTTTTGTGATTAGATAAAGGGTCTATACCATGGAAAGCTGATTTTATTTCTTTAAAAGAGTTTGTTGTAGTACATAAACATTGTGATAGAGTTTCAGGGCGTATCGTTCACTCCCCAGTCCATACAGTCCATAATTGGAAGCTACTTGGCAAAAACAGCCTGTTTTGAATTCATTGTTTTCGTGAGGTCACGCAGTCACAAACACACATCTGCCTATTTATCCTACAGCAGTTTAGCCCCGCCCACTCACTCTGAAGCTATAACGAGCGTTTAAGCCCAGTCTGCTTTTTGAACGAGGTTCAGGGCAGCCAATCCGAACATGGCTCATTTACGTATATCAGCCTTAAAGGCACAGTAACAAAAACTTGTAAAGGTTAAAGAGAGGTTGGAAAATGTCACGTACAAAGGAATTATGACTGTTTTTGGTACATAAAACCACACAAAAGTCACAAGTGGACCTTGGTGGGAAGGTCAATTTGAGGCAGATTTGTTAATTTATTCATACGTTTTGCACGATGCTAAGCTGGCAGCTGTAAGTTTCTGTTACTTGTTAGCATCAGCCTTATAGTTCCAGTGCAAAACCAAAGGAGCACACTTCAGACAGCATTTCCCATTTGACCAACTGCATTTGGGTTAATTATTTGATTTTTTTGCCAAACTTTTCTTGTAACATGCAAAAAAGATCACAATTTCTGAGATACTTCATCCGGATAGTGGTACGAGTGGACATGTTGAAGTTTGGCTTCCATCACCAAGCCCTGATTTTTTTTAATGAAATGGAGATGTTTGTATTTTTAGGGCTCACTTAAAGGCATGTAAAGGGTTATTTCTAGGCCTCTGTGCAAAAATATATGACCCTTGTTCATTAGAGCTGTGTGACCTCTTGGACAGAAGTGAATTCTCATCTGTTCCTGTGATTCAGGGTTGAAAATGACTTTGCTTGTCTTACTGCAGGTTGCATAAGCTGTGGTCTGGTGATCTAAGAGAGATCATGAGTTTTATACTCCAAATTCATGCTTTTAAATGTGGCACCGTTTGCAAATCTGCTCTCATCTTTCTCATTTTCACTTTTGAACTTTTATCATATGAACCACGCTGTGCTAAGAGGAAGTTTTAATTCAAGTGTCACATGCTTCCAATTCAGATGGTAAAGTGGAGGAATGTAGTAGAGGAGACTGAATTACCTGCTGCCCCATGCTGACTTTAACAGTGAGTCTCTTTTGTTGCTATGAGGGAGAAAGTCTGTCGTTTGTCATGACACTGTATAGAAATGGTCTTTAGTGGGGTTGCACAATATGAATAAATACTGTTGTATATTGCAGTATATTAAAAATGTTCAGTAATCAGTATTGTAAAATAGTTAAAGATGGGCCTGTGGTTTTGTTTAGTTGGATTGTATGAATACTGGAACTGTGCTTGGTCAGCATTCTCACAGCACACGTTACAAACATTGTGATTGGTTAGAGGCTCATTTGCATGTTGTAGCCTCCTGCAATATTATTATATAAGCCAAAATTACAAACAGTTAGCAAACAGTATATTGTGCAGCCCTGCTCTGTGCTCAAAACTCCAGTTATAAAACCAAAATCCATAAAAAGCCTCCTCCTCAGTGTTATTTAAGACCTGTAGTTTTATTAATTATTATTTTGGCTATTCTATCAGTATCTGAACTGTTCAGGTTATATTTAACCTTATTTATGGTATTTATGGTAAGTATTGCGCTTATAGTCATATGCAAATGTTTGGGTGCCCCTGGTAAACTTACATTTTGGTTGTTTTCTGAGTATAAATAAGGTAAAACATCCTCTACAGAGAACACACTTGTGCACATTCTAACATAGAACTACTGTTTATATGGTGATTTTAAAATATTAGGAAAAAACATAACATAAAATGTGGCCTGTGCAAAAGTTACGGCACACTTTAGTACTTTCCAGTGTGTTAAGCTTAATGAAATTGTGCATAGAAAACCATGAATCTCCATTTTTGTCAATTTTTATTTTTCTACATCATTTCAACACACCAGCTGTCCTTCACGTTGTGTTAACGTTTCATGGTGACTGGACCAATAGAAATGCTCTAAAATCACTTGGAATCAAATCTCTTTACATTGACTTACATTGAACGATAAGAGCGATTTTGCCTTCCCCTGTAAAGTTACTATTTTGGAGATACTCGTTTTCCTATGGACAGCGACGATATTTAGGTTAACTTATTTTCACTTACAAAATGTGTAATTTGATTGGGGGCGTCCAAACCTTTGCATGCATCTGTATAACTTGAAGTTTATTAGAATAGTTTGGTGAAAAATCAAATTTACAAGTTCCCCCACTTTGTCTCAAATGTGGTAGATCAGCCAAGGCGTGTTTGGTGTCTGTAGTTTGCTTCCTCAGTTTAGCACTGGAGCTACAAGGCTAATGCAGCTCATAATAAATGGAAACGTATACTCTATCAGTTAGCACTGGTCATCACACATAAATATACTCAAAGGGACGCATAGCTGAACAGTAACAGTCACCAAACCTGTCTTGGCTCACTGATTACCTTTGTGGTCGGTGAGATAAATGCATGAATAGATTTTTCACCAAACCGTTTCTTTAAACTGTCCTGTGCAGCCTGGACACTTGACTGTGTTGAGTGTGTGTGTAATCTGTCTCCGCTGAGAGTGCAGGTGGAATCTGTGTCATGCTGCTTGTGTTTCATCTCAACCAACAAGTTCAGAATTGTGTTGTGAGTGGGATCATTTCAGCAGGGGGGCTTTCTTTTCCCCATAGGTCAATATGACATCAAGCTTTTTTGTTTGTACCACTCGTTTCTGAAATATTCCATTCCCTTGCTGGTGAGTGGGCTTGAAAGAGTTGGTTTTCTTGCCCGCTAACAAATGTTCAGTACATAACTAATGATCTGAGAGTCTGTTACACTTTATCTGACTGTAATAAACTGTATTTAATGGGATTTTCAAAAGCGTTCTGTGCTCTTTGTACAGTACACTGGACACACTGAATGAGCATCTGCTTTATGACTATTATTTATACACTGACCAGCCACTTCATTAAGTACGTCTACCTTGTTTCTACGCTTACTGTCCATTTTATCAGCTCCACTGACTTTATAGGAGCACTTTGTAGTTCTACAGTTACAGACTGTAGTCCATCTGTTTCTCTGCATACTTTGTTAGCCCCCTTTCACCTTGTTCTTCAGTGGTCAGGACCCCCACAAGACCACCACAGAGCAGGTATTCTTTGGGTGTTGGATCATTCTCAGTACTGCAGTGTTAGTGTGTTGTGCTGGTACGAGTGGATCAGACACAGCAGTGCTGCTGGAGTTTTAAACACTGTGTCCACTCACTGTCCACTCCATTAGACACTCTTACGTTGTCAGCCCACCTTGTAGATGTAAAGTCAGAGACAGAAGCTCATCTGTTTCTGATGTTGTGTTGGCCATCCTCTGGTCCTTCATCAGTGGTCACAGGACGCTGTTTGCTGGATATTTTTGGTTGGTGGACTGTTCTCAGTCCATCAGTGACACTGAGGTGTTTAAAAACTCCAGCAGCACTGCTGTGTCTGATCCACTCAGACCAGCACAACACACACTAACATGCCACCACCACGTCAGTGTTACTGCAGTGCTCAGAATGATCCACCACCCAAATAGTACCTGCTCTGTGGTGGTCCTGTGGGGTTCCTGACCACTGAAGAACAGGGTAAAAGGGGGCTAACAAAGTATGCAGAGAAACAGATGGACTATTCCATACTGTTATCTGTAAACATGGGCAAAAGTACATTGCATAGCTAAAAACAGTTCTAATAGGTGCTGTATGTTTCCATTACCTGTTAGCTGCGTCAGCCGTACACCAGTGGTATAACTAGGGTTTTATGGGCTCCAGTACAAAAAAAAAGCATGTAACAGTATTATAAACTATTTGAAGTCAGTATCTATGTAAGGGGCCCAGTAAAGAGTTTAGAGGCTCTGGCCGCAGTGGCCCCACCTAGATTTATTAGATTATTAGATTTTTTGCTAAACTGCTCCATTCTGTGATACTTTGATGGTCATTTCACAGACTCCATTCAAAAGGCGTCTTTTTTCAGTGCCGTTTCAGAGATGAGCATTTGTTCAGTGTTTGGTGGGCAGGAAATTCCTGACCTTCTGTAACGATAAGGCCGTGACTCATACGGCCGTGTCAAGCTCAGACCGCGCTGGAGCCTTTCTGATAGTATTCAGCCTGTCTGCTTAGTGTTTGTTCAGGGCTTTGCTTTCCTTCTCCAGCCAAATCCAGGCCACTTTCAGACTGAAGGCCGGTGCATGGATGAGATGATTGGGAGAAAGTGATGGACACAAAGTGTCACTCACACAGTGTGTTTTTCAACCTACGAACTCATCTTGTAGTGGTAAATTTCTCATTTTTACTCGTTTTTGAGTGTCACTTTGCCTCTTGGAACGGAGTTACAAGGGGTAGTGGTTGAAATCTTCCCTATGAAATGGGACCCTCAAATAAAAAGAGCATTACTTCATTAACAGCTACTTGCGCTGCTCTGTAGGCGACCCTGCCAGTCTGCAGTGACAGCAGAGGAGGGTAAAGTTCAGCTCCTCACTGCTGGGCTGTAGTTACATTTAGGGAATCATATGCCTTCAAAGAGGGGGGCAATTATTTATTATCGCCCACCCCTAATTTTTCAGTTGATATGAAGCTGAAGTCAGATATTCACCAGCTTCTTGTTTGAATTTTCCGATTTCACCTTAAATTGTGCAGCAGTTCTGATGCCTGAGGTGCCAGAATGTAACTGCTGCACCATTTAAGGTGGAACGGGAAATTTAGCCAGCTAGCTACCGAGACATCAGTATACTACTGGCCATTTTTATGCTTGTTGTGAAGAAAAGGACCATAATACATTGAAACGACATTAAACTAAGATAATAAACTGTTTATCATCATTTTTAACAGAGAAAAGTCTCACATCTGTGGGTGTCTTTGGTCTCTTGCTCAGCCGTCTTGCCAGTTTTTCTTTTTCTCTCATGACACTCCATTTGGAGTGAGTCTCTGAAAAACCTCTGTTTGGAGGGCCATGTAGCCCTAACACTTCGCCCTTCCCCTCTATCTCAACAAAAATCGGGACACCCTACCCCAAGATGGAGGGGTAAGGGCTAAGTGGTAGGGGCAAGGGTGAAATGGGATTGGGCCAGTTCCTGCTCTCTGGTGGTCCTGTGGGAGTCCTGACCGTTAAAGAACGGGCTAAAATGTGACTAACAAAGTACGCAGAGAAACAGATGGACTACAGTCTGTAACTGTAGAACTACAGACTAATAAAATGGACAATGAGTGTAGAAATAAGGAGGTGGTTTTAATGTTATGACCGATGTGTGTTTATTTCACAGTTTGCAAACAACTCAGTGTGGTTATTGACATCTAGTTTTAACCAAAGACATTTTTTGAGAAGAATATTCCATTGGTTTGTTGATAACAGCCCAAATCGCAGCAGGAGCTGGTGACCATATCCTATAACGTGTCATTGCGTCTTTTGGCCGCCAGAGGGCGACAGAGTACTGCTGCACTGAGACTACAGGATTCCGTATGGTTCATTCTGCTGTCATGTATTTGTGTTGGCACAAAAGTAATAAAACCTCAAAGTAATAAACTCATACATGAGTCCCAGGCGTCCTCTTTGTCCATTTATTGGGTATGAAGGGCCTTTTAAAGATCACAATGATCACAAAGATCACACAGTCCGGGGGGGTAGTGGTTATCAGCTGAGCCCCCCATGCGGTTTACAAACACTCACTTCCCCTCAGTTCATTGTTATTCACTTCTAGATCCCCCTCGCTGATCTCCGTGCCTGCCTGTGTTTATTTTGCCTTTGTTAGCACTTCAAGTGTTTGGGCAGGTTCTCAAGGCCGCAGCACCTCGCCCAGTCATTGACCACCAGCAGTATATTCACACTAATTTCACCCACTAAATTCAGTAATGTTAAAGAAGAGGGAACACGTTCACGCTCATAATATGTGGCAAACATTGCAGAAAAAGTGAAAAAGAGCTGCAGTTTAAATGCCAAACACTGCAATTTAGGCCTGGTTTTGTTAAATGTGTAATTTCATCTTCTGGCCGCCAGATGGCACTGCACTGCAGCTCACTGAGGCTCGGGATGATGCTGCTGCATTCATTATTTTAAGCTTGTTTAAGATTATTACATCACTGTAACAAAAGCAATACGATAGCAAATCATTTTGGGTGCACTCGCTAACAAATAGGGTTGTTCACTCCGGGGCTGGAGTTGGGAAATACTGGTTTAGGTACTTTTGCCATTGTTTAGATTTTCTCAATTTATGTGTAAAATTCTAATGTGCATCTAATTAATCTAATTAAACCTCAAGATAATATTTATGCAAGCTTACACATGTCATACACTTTTTTTATTGAATGTGTAATTGCAGGTACTGACCTCCAGAGGGCAATAGAGTACTGCATTGCAGCTCACTAAGGCTCAGGATGACTAGAATACCTGCACACTTTTGCAGATGCGAGCTCAAGGTGCAAAACACAGGGGGTCCAGGGTGTCTGGGACCCTCTGAATGTCTCAAAATGAAGATTCTGGAGGTCCTTGGAAAGTTTCTCTTGTTGCTGATTTTTGCACAGTAAATAATTTTTAGTCATGCTTTATACTTTATACTATTATTTTTTAAGAATAATCATTAAAAGTGAAAGACAATTGAGAATTGAGAATTATTAAAATAATAATAATGTGGCATCCACCACAGGATGCACTGCTGTGGGGAGCTTAGGGGGTGTGGCCATACAAAGTTGCTCTTAAGGCATGCTGTACTCCCAGTTTAGCAGGGGTGATTGGGGTTGTTCTTGTTGTTGGTGGTGGTGCTTATTTGTAGCATAGTTGTGTTGCTTGTAGAATTGTGTCCAAGGTTTCGTGAGCGTGTGCTTGTAATCCCTTCTGGTATGTCATGTCCTGATGGTTTAACCCCTCCCTGTGTTTCTAGTCTTTGTAAAGACTTGCTGTAGAGATGTCTGTTTCAGTAATGAGCTTTTGCCTGGTCGTCTGGTTCTTCTGTGCCGACGCTACACTGGTGTCAGAAGTGGGATGTGGCTTCTGAGTTTGAAGAAAGCGAAAAGTGTATCAACAAACACGAAGGCAGACAGCAAAGAAGTCATAACCCGGAGGAAAGGGTACCAAGCGCTGCGCCTAACCAACGCCCCAAAGCCCCCATCCCCCCCCCGCCCTGGGGTACACCATATGCTTTGTTTAAAAGGGACATTTGGTGTTGTTGGTTATTTGTAGTGTAGTTGTGTTGCTTGTTGAATTGTGTCTGAGGAGGGTGGGTTTTTGTGAGTGCCTGCTTGTCGACCCTCCTCGTGTTATGTGTTGGGGTAGAGCTGGGCTGGGCATTACTGGTCATTGTGAAGACTCGCTGTTGAAGTGCCTGTTCTAGTAAAGAGCATTTGCCCTGCGCGCAGTGTCATCGGGTTCTTCATCTACGGTACAATAATTATAATGCACGCGCTTAACGACGGGCTGAACGGTCCGATACTGTGTGTGCGTGCGCGTGTGCGCGCAGATGTGCTCCAGCTGTTCACGCAGCCACCTCACCGGTCACGTGCTCCGCCCTGGAACGCGTGTTTGTGTGGAATGCGATTGAGCCGCACTGTAGCCAATCAGAGGCGCGGCTCGAGTGTCTCCACCAATGGGCGCGCAGCGGGAGGCGGGCTCGCTCGCGGATCGTTTTGCAGCCATGGGAACGCGGAGAGAAAGTTGCAGTCCTCAGAGGAATGGAGAGAGAGAGAGAGAGGGGATTCAGCGGACTGCTAACCAAACTGACCCTGTGAGCAGCTTCAACTGACCACTCAGTCACCCCAGGAACATGGTGAGTACACTGGGAGGGTGTCAGTGTTTGGGGACGTCTTTTAGCTGAAACTTCAGTCTGAGTTTGTAGCAGGAGCCTCAGAAAAATGGAGAGAGGCGAAGCTGAAGTCAGCTTATTATTCGCCAGCTTCTTGTTCGAATTTTCCCGGTCCACCTTAAATAGTGCGGCGGTTACTGTTGTAACGCTGCAGGCGCTAGAATGTAACTGCTGCGCCGTTTAAGGTGGACCGGGAGAATTCGAACAAGAAGCTGACGAATAGGAAAACAACTTCAGCCTCGTAACTAATATTTCATTTACAACTAAAATTTACGGCAAAAATCCGAAAACATGATCAACTTGACCCTAAAAGTGTCCGTTTTAAGTGGTTTAAGTGGCTCTTGAAATTCCCTCAGAGGGAGGGAGGGAGTTGCTAAGCTAGTCAGGATGAGGCTCAGTTTGGATCCTTTGACTCTCTCGACCGTTGACAGTTTTAAAGTTGTTGTTTTCTTTCCATACAAAGTTGTAGGATATTTTTAGTATAAGCTTCAGTCTGAGTTGTTGGTGGTGTTTCAGAGAAGTTAAGGGAGTTTTAGCAGTCTGGCTGTTTAAAGTAGTTGTTTAAAGGGGAACTCCACCGATTTTTCAAAAATTCTACATGCTTTAATGGCTAAGGTGTAAACAAAGTCATTCAGAGTGGTTTGGTGTGAAATATTAGTTCAAGAGAAAGATACTGAGACAAAATTGTTCACAATGGTGGTGATAGGAACCGGGCGTCTGAGAAGTTTAGTAACTTTAAAAAAATTCCCTCACATAAAGTTATTACACAAAATAGCTAGATTTATGCCGCCTGATGTCTGATACATTGTTTTGTGATGCAATTTTGGCTTAAAATGTATTTTAGTCCATTTATTTTAATCCATTCGTGGCGGAGGGTCACTTACAGGGTGTTGAGGGACAAAATAGTCCCTCCCAAAATTTTCCCTCCCTTAATTTTTCAGATTTCTGACTATTTTACCATCATCAACATCACATATAAAAACTCAGAAGATGTGTAGGTTCACTGGTGGTTTTGTATAGTAAATAAAATGGGTGTATTTGTGTTGTAGACATGGTGACACCTGGTTTCTATCAGCACCACTGTTAAGAAATCTGGGTCTGCATGTTTCTTTACAATGAACTTTTACATCAAAGCACTCTGAATGACTCACAACGACTGAATTATTCAGAAATTTTGAAAAAATTGTGGAATTCCCCTTTAATTCACCTCAAAAATAGTCTGGAAACACAGCGGTCGGCTTTTGGTGCTGTTTAAATTTGGAGTTTGTAGGAGTTGCTAAGCTAGTAGGGATCAGGCTCGCTTTGACTCTCTAATTCTGTCTTTCTCAGCCACAGACAGGCCTCTTATAACTCACACACTTTAATTCTGTCTTTTTCTCAGCCATCAAATGCTTTAAAATGTCCTATTGACATGCATTTTTATTTGCCTGTGTATTCAGTGGTGTGGAAAGTCTTCTACCTAATGAGCTGCTGCTGCCGACTGCCTTTTTCTCAACTACTGACAATTTTAGAGTTGTTTTCTTCTCTTAAAAAGTTCGAACGGTCGGCATAAACCTCAGTTGGAGTTGTAGGAACATCAGAAAAGTCATCTAACAGAACTTTTTAGAGGTGAGGAATTGGATGTAATATTTCACTCACCTCAAAAAGTATCTGAAAACACAACAAGAGCACCCCAATGGGTTTTGTGGTGGATTTCAAACTCTTTAAAAGGGGAATTCAACTGATTTTTCAAAATTTCTGTGTAATTCAAGTTGCGATTGAGTTTTGAGTTGAGATTTAAACGAAGTAAAACTGTGTGTTTTGATGTGAACTTGAAGAGAAGCTTCCTGATTCAGATTTCTTTACAGTGGTTGACGGGAATTAGGGGTTATGATTTATACAACACAAATATAGCCGTTTTATTTATTACCCAGAGCAATCAGCGAACCTTCACCTGTCTTCTGAGCTATATGGAATGTTGATAAGGGTAAAATCTGACTTTTCATTTAAAAATATATGGTTTAGGCCAAACCTTTCTTAAAACTATCATAAAACAATGCCTCGGGCGTTAGACAACATATTTGTAACCATGTCATACACAAGCTTTTTTGTGATATAGTTTTTAGAGGCATTAAACGCTGTTCATATCATCGCCGTTGTGAATAATTCTGACTCTGTAATTTATAGAATGGTGCGTAATCATTTAATAAGGCCTGTTCTTTCTGTATCCTGATTAGCAGTTAAAGTTGTTTTCTTTAGGAAAGTTTGTGATGCTGACTTTAAAATTTCACTTAAGCTTTGGTTTTAAAATGTGAAGGAGCAGCTTAGCTACACAGTTACTGTACATTGACCATAGGATTAGTTTCAATGGATACAAATAGGTACAACTCACTATTTACTTCTGTTCTTAGACCCCTAACAACAGTCCGTCCATAAGTACCCTGTGGGTTGGTTATGTATTTTTATGGTAGCCTGTCTGATCGTATTCTCTCTCCCCTGTTCTTCTTCTTTGCTGATGAACGTTAATATGTAGTCATTTCGAACTCAAATCCAGAGCAAAAATATCCCTTATATAGGACAAAAAACGTGTCATACACGTCTGCACCAAGGGGCTGGACGATGGTCTACACACCTGAGTGAATATTGTAACTCAATAACAGTTATTTTGTGACTTAGCTGTATTTTTTTGTAGCATAAAATGCTTGAAATGTGTTATTTACATGCATTTTTATTTTTTAGGTCTATGTATTCCGTAATGCAGAATAATATCGTCTACCTAAAGAACCGCTAAAGCCTTGTCAAAGTTTTGTCAGCCTTGATGAGGGTGCATGTTGCAGCAGGTGCATGTTGCGTGTCCTTCAGTGGCACATTAATTCAGTTTCAATGCCATGCTTGACGTTTGTGGTTTTTACGTCCTTCATTCAGCAGCCTTTACTTTGTTTACAAGGGAAAACTCACTCTCAGCTACTCTGAATTCTCTCCACGACCAGGACAAACACCAGGACAAACTCTGTTGTGGGTGTTTGTCCCTCTTGGTAATACGTCTCTGCACCTTTTCTGCCTCGGTCTCAGAAAAAGCAGTCTCTCAGTCATGCTCTGATGTGGAGCGTTCCAGGAATGTTCGTTTCAATTACGCTTCCTCCATCTCACCGTTATTTTCCAGGCACGCCGGTTTCCTCTCTCCCGGAGCTGCCGTGCTTTCAGGAATCCGTCGGCCTGAGGGCTCGCCATTCCTGATCTCAGGTTTAGATACGTGAGCGGGAGATAGACAGAGGGAGAGCTGTTTGATGTGCTCGTGTATTGTCTGGCGCCATGCTTGTCCGACTCACTTTGCATCAGCGTGAGGCAGAGGCCAGATTTGCTCCCGCTGGTGCTGATTTGCTTAGCAAATAGCAGAGCCCTTTGAGCCTGAAGTCCCCCCCCGCCCGGGGTAATCTGTTCTGTAAGTAAAGGTGCTAACTCTGAGTTTATAGACACCCCTCTGCCACAAATCACAGCCCTGAGCCTACTGTTCTACAGGGGTTTGATTTGTTCCTGAAGTCCTGGAGAGCCGCAGTGTATAGTGCTCCAACACATCTGGTTCAGGCCTAATTATTAGGGCTAAAGGCAGGTTTACACTGTGCGGTAATCATCAGGATAATACTGTCACAGACAACAATCGCAAATGGAGAAAGAATTCTTTGATCCTCAGTCAAAATCGGTGGTCTTTCAATGTTTATTGTGACTTTGGCCCAAAATCTTGTGCTGTGACACCCATCTAAAGAGTGTGTGAGCTGAAAATTTAAAGTTAAAAACTTCTTACAAGTTTAGGAATATTAGCTTGTGCTATTAGTCTGGCCCCGCCCTCAGTTCACATAAAGAGTGGCCTGCAGTGAAATAGCCCAGCTAGGTACTGCTTAGTGGACAGAAAAATTAGCCTACTGACCTAAAGTTCACTTTGGGGAATGAACATTCCATGCTGTCCTTTTTCCCAGCCAAGAACAGCTTCAACCTCTCTGTCTTCGCCATTTAATGTGTTTTGATTCAGCCAAAGCATCGCCACTATTGTAGGTCCTTGTTTTCTTTTTTGTTTTTTTGCTTGCATGGTCCTGTTTTTCAGCAAATAAAGAAAGTGCCTCTAGAATTTCATCATTTTCTGACATCGTAATCTATCACCAGAAAAATTGTTCAATGTGATGTGCATCATAAGTGAAGTCGCACAGTCTGGCATGGAGTTTATCTGTAGCATCTCTGCAGTGTGATGTGCAGTAAACATGCAAGACAGCTTACAGTCAACTGATCGCTCTCCATCCTCTCACCCTCGTGGAAAAAAGCCTCTAGTAAGTAAATAACATAGTTTCAGAAAACAGTGAACTACAGAGCTTATAAGTCCTTTCCACTTTAAACTGTATCTTTCATTTTGCTATATTTGGTGCTAAGAACATTTTTAAATACTTTTTAAAGCTTCACTAAGTAAGATTTTGAAGATTCGGAGACCTCTCTGGTGGAAATGTGTAATTGCATGCAGAGCAGCATTTTGCATCTGCAGTTGTGCTGCAGCCTCCCATGAGTGGATGAAACTGATAATTGCGAGTGAACCCCTTATTCTCCTGGGTATATTTTGTTTTTTCCCTCTGAATTTACATGCCTGAATCATAAGGCAAATTATTCAGTAACTGCATGAAATAACTGTAAATTTCTATTTAAATTTATTATTTTGTAAAAGTTCCCCTCAAATTAACAGTAAATGTGTTTTATGATCACACATATTGCTATATGCTTACATTTTACTGCTGAAAGCCAAAAATCTTAGACGCTCTTTGTATTTTTTTATAAAAATCATTTTTACAGAGCAGATCACTGAAGAGACGCCATCTGTTTATAGTTTATAGCCCAGATTTGTGGAAAAATGGGTCGACTTTCAGTAGAAAAAAAAATAGTGAGTTCAGCTTCTTTTATTATAAGGGTTTAAAAAGAAGACAGTTACAGCTCTCATATGACCCCCA